TCTCTTGCTTTTTGTTCTGTGCCCTTCCCAGAAATATGAATGGTCATCTTTCACTGGGAGCCTCATCTGCTTTGGGGCGGGAAGACAGGTTTTGTGCTTTTCCGGTTGTTTCTCTGTGTTAGTAATGTTGATGAGGGTAGGGTGCCAATTGGCTGATGAGCAGTCTTCACTGAGGTTAGTCTCCAGACCTGGCTGGCTGGTGTTCACACAGTGCATCATTCCCAAGACAATCAGAAATGTAAGTCCAGCTGGTTATTGTCAGAACTACCCTGGAGAAGTCAATGCTGTCATTTGCCAGTTGTCATGCCTACAGAGTTCATAGAACTCTGTCAGTTGCCAACTATGGGCCTGTTTTCAGTTGGTTGGCCTGGCCTTTGCAAGCTTGGTTTTGACAGACTCCATTGGTAATTTTATTCCCTGTCCTCTGTTGTTCTCTTGTGACCCATTAGTACTAGAGAGACAAGGGATGAAAATCTATTCCTAGAGTCAAAGTGATATATAATGGGTAGAATTTCTGGGGAATATTAATTCAGTTTTAACTTTGTTCAGATTTCAATTTCTAGATACCTAGATTAAAAGGATAGAAATAAGTATCCTGGGAATAGAGGATGCTACATTGAGGTAGAAAGGTAGATCTGAGGGGTTGTCTCTTGAAGAAAACCTGAGTCCTAGGATAATAATCTAAGCCTTCTAAACATTTTTTAAAATTGACATACAATATTATATTAGTTTTTGTTATACAATGTAATGATTTGACATTTATATACGTTGTGAAATGAGCACCTAAACCTTTTCTTTTTTAAAAGATAATAATTTAAGCCTTTTCTAAAAGGAGAGAATAGTGGAATCCAGAAATAACAATGATTATGATTTATTTATTGAACATTTAATAAATGCCAGGTATTTAATTCATGTTATTTAGCTCTTTAATCTCAGCAGCCTCGTGATGTTTGTTGAACAGTTTGCCTAAAGTCGCAGCATTAGTAAGTAAGAGAGCCTGATTTTGAGTCCAAGTCTAACTCTAAAGCTGGTGCTCTTAACCACTGAGCCATAATAAGAACATAAATTGAAAAGTTTGTTTCCAAGGAATGGATTTATGCATCTCTTCTCCATCTGCAGCCTCTATTTTCTCTTATTTGAATTATTTTAGCTGGTTAACTGAAACCTCAGATTAAGCCATTTTCAAACTTTAGAGAACAGAAGAAATTACTTTGAGTTTGTTAAAAATTCAAATTCTTTACCCTTTCCCATTGTGATTCAGTGTATCTGGTGTGATCCAGTAATCTGCAGGTTAAGATAAACATACCAAAGTGATTCCACCCATGTGATCAGAGAAGAGTAGTTTGAGACACATTGCCCTAAATACTGACAAGATTAAGAGAAAATGTAACACAATCACATACTTTTTTTTTTCAAGGCTTCTAAATGACATTTATTTTATATGGAGCTGTAAATAGAGTTAGATTTTTCATAGAATACAATGTAGACATTAAATTTATGGTACCTATTTAGTATAATCACTGCGAATGTCAGTGCTAAGAAACGGTATTGTTTCATTTTATTTGAAGTATGTTCCTCTTTTTTTCAGAGAGGAACATACTTGAAAAGGTTCCTGTCACTTTCTTTTCTTTAAAATGCCTTTTTATCATAAAGTAGCTTGTGGTAGTGAGTCTCAGTTTTTTCCCTGCTCTTGCTTATTAAAGGGCTTATTACTCCCATCTCTGACAATGTCTCATTCCTGCCATGATTTTCAGCTAAGGTAGGGAGAATCATGTGGGAGGACAGGAGGAACTAATTTTATGTCTTCAGATATTCTTATCTTTAAGACTAATGCTTCTGGAGGATGCCTTGCCCCAGTTTCTGAGCTAATATGGCTTTCCTAAATAGTTAACAATAGAGGAAGAGTCACTAGGAAGAAATCATAATTGTAATATTTAAATATTCAAGGGGCTTGAAAAAGAAGCCTGCCTGTACCTAGCGATTACAAATAATGTTAAGTTCTGTTTTCTGCTTCCCGTTCCTTTCCTTCCCTCAGGACCACATTTCCTCTACGTTCCTTAGGGGCATGCACCATATCTTTTACTTTCAGTTGTTGTTTGATGTAAATGGAAGTGTTTAAAATGTTCTTTTTTTTCTTTTATACCTCGGTCCTGTTTCCTTGTAGGTAGCCGTTCCTTGTAGGAATAAAGGAGTTATTTCCCTCTGTGGCAAGTTTTCAGAGGATTGTCTATTTGATTCAGCGAATAAAATTGGTTCATACTCAGTAAATATTGATTTAAACTTCTTTTTATCTATTAAAATGAGTAAAACTATATGTAAGGGTCTGGGATTTTATTTTACCCTATTTAGAAGCTAATAATTAGCCTCCTCCAGTTCATGGATATGGCAGAACACTTGAGACTCCTGAATCAGAGACACAGGACTTAATTGCTCATGGCCCACCAAACAGTATAAACATATGTTTGTATCAGTTCCCTTTACCCCCCCACCCCCAGGTCTCATGGGAGTGACATGAACGGGCCCAGATGGATACCTGCACATGTATTATAGGAATGGAACATTGAGCTTGGGGAATCCATTGCTTTTGTAAGTGATAAGCAAGCCAACTCTTTGTCCTGGAGTGGTACATTACTTCATTCCTCAAAGCTGCTTTTTGTAACACAGTCCTGAGAAGTAGTCTGGATAAGGAGTGGTCAGGGTTGTGTGTTTTTGGCATACCCAGCAAGACCATGTAGCAGTGTTAGAGACCTCCTATGGCAGAGTACTCCCAATAGTAAGTGCATACAATAAGTAATTGACAGGAATGTTAGAAAGATTTATTATGAAATATTTGCCATTTAAAATGGTAAAAACAGTAGTATAATGAACAGCCATATAGTCACCCCCCAACTTGAGAAACTTCCTGTGGACCCCTCCCCTTGTCCCACAGGTAAGCACTTTCCTGATTTGTTATCATGCCAATGCATTCCCTCTGTATCCCTTATTATCTACAGTATTGTTTTGCATATTTATAAACTTAAAAATTTTTTTACTATCATTTAAAAAATTGTTAAAGAGCCTTTTTGCATAATATTACCATTCTAGACATTATAGAAAAAAAATTTAAAGATAAAACTCTTGCATGTCATGATCTTATGGTTCAAGGAAAACCAAAAACACTAAATACACAGTACAGTATAAGGAAAGGATGTGGGTGAAAAATAAAAATTGGTAAGCAATATATAATTCTAAAGTCAACTATATACCAAAATAAAAATTGGTAAGCAATATATAATTCTAAAGTCAACTATTAGCATCTAGTATATATAAGGGCTAAGTATAGTTGTGGGTGGAGGGCAAGATACAATTAATTATTGTGGTGAAAAATAGTGATTATGAGAGGCAGTGACAGTGATAATTACAAGGATGAGATTCATCTAGATACTTTGTCATACAGGAGAGAGGATTATGCTACGAAGAACTGGGATTATATTGATCCAGCCAAAAGAGATGAGAGAAGGGAGCTGGGAATAGTTAGCCATCAAGGTAGTTAGCTAAGAGGTATGTAGGCTCAGCATTCTGTTAGGTAACCATTTTAATAAAGAAGGATGGCTAAGACTAAGCCACTTATATCAAAGGACTTAACATCTGATTAATTGCACAGGGATGGTTACATATGGGAGAATTAGAGAACATCCTAAAAACCTAAATGTTTAATGGGAGTTGCAGCAGTTAGGGCCAGAAAGCCTTGATGTGAAGTCTTGAGTTGGACTTGAATAGCAGATCATGATGAGGGTGCTCCAGGAAAAGGAGTAGGTGGTAAGAGTACATGAGCAAAGACTGGAGAAAATGATTGTGAAACAGTCACAAGATTGAGAAAACTGAAGACCTGTGTGACTTGTTTATGTCCAGGCCACTTGACCTATAGAGTTTTCCATAGTCTGTATTTTGTTAATTGTATACTTATGGTGCTGTTCAGCAGTTTTCCTTTCCTGTATTTCCTGCAAATTAGCAGCTAGACCCAACAGCATGATGAGATTCGGGTTCAATCTCTTTGACAAGACTGTGAGTGGTTGTATGTTCTTTTATCACATCAAAGGTATGTGTAAGGGTCTGCAGTTTCATTTTACGCTACTTACCAAGCTAATAATTAGCCTGTTAATGTTTCATTTTCTAACTTCATAGAGCTCCCTCTTCTGTTGTTTCAAGTATTGTTAAAAAATATATAATGGCTTGCTTTCTGAGATATCTTGGTCTGCCTCCCACCCCCTACTTTAAGTGGACTCTTTTTTTCATTTCTGTTATCCCTGTCTTGCTCAGTTTAGATTCCTCTCCCAGCAGTTTCTTCTTAGTGTGGGGGCCCTGTCTTGGGAAGGAGCCTTGTTTAGTTCTAAGAATTTATAGAGTTAGACTGCTCCAGCTCCTTTGGGCCTCACTGGCGACCTCTTGCAATGGATAGAATCCCTCCAGTTTCAGTTGCTATTCTCAAAATGGCCCACATTGTTTTTCACGTAGCACTTGGTTATCCTGTTCTTGAATCTTTCAGATGCCCTATTGCCTCCCTCTATGTTCATTTGCACAGCTGCTTGTGCACTCAGGTCTTGTGGCTGTTGATGTTTTTCTCCCCTCCTGCTTGTATATGGGGGGTTATAAAGATGCTTTATCTTCTAGTTTTGTTTTAAATGTTATCAATGGGCTTTTTGTGTTGCTATCTAGTTGCTCTGTCTTTTTATGTAGGGATTCAGAAATATCAAAAAGCTATATTGCCATTGCTGCAGCCATTTCCTCAGGATCTGTATTGTAGGTTCTTGAGTAGAAAGATGACATAATCATGGGAATGGTAGGTCTCACCTAACATCTTACATGGCAGAGACACAGTATGTTATCTAATGACGTTAGATAACACACAAATGTTATCTAATGACGTTCTCTTTTCTCTAAATTCAGAAGTGTTATTGTCCATAATGCCTGTTTAGAAGAGTCCTATGGAAATTATAGTTTCTTATCATTACTCTTTTCAGGTTCACTAAGAATCTTTCCCCAGACAAAATCAACTTGAGCACCCTGAAAGGAGAGGGTCAGCTTACCAACCTGGAGCTGGATGAAGAGGTTCTACAGAATGTGCTGGAGCTGCCCACTTGGTTAGCCATCACTCGGGTCTACTGCAACAGGGCCTCCATCCGGGTGAGAATGGTGGTCAGAGGGCTATTGTCCTCTTTGGCCGGCCGGCCTGCTTTCCACAGCTCTGAGTCTTTGCTTTCCTCTTTCAGATCCAGTGGACAAAATTGAAGACGCACCCAATTTGCTTGGTACTGGCATTTCTTGATTGCAAGTAATCGAATGGGGATGGCTAGGGTAGGGTTTTAAAAGATCTAAGAGAAGATGGGGAGGATTCCTGATAGGCTGTCCCTTTTGGGAGTAGTGAATGCTTCTGTGTGGCCTGTGAGTTCTCTCTCAGACAGAATGACTATTGTCTGGACTTATTCTGGAACTGCTGGGCAGTATAGGAATTAACAAAGACACACAAGGCCCAGGAGTTCTGAGTTTGTTTTGTTTTCTTTTGTTGTTTTTCATGACAAATTTTGCTGCCCACATACTACTTTTAGATTTCCCTATTTTCTCTTGGGAACCTGACAGAGGGAAAATTAGAGGTCTCAATTCATGTGGACTGTTGAGTGATTATCAGCTGAAAGCTATTCAGGAACTGATTGATACATGTCTTTATCCCAAAGACTAGAATCCCCAGGAACAGTAATATCTCTGTAGCTTGGATTTATGTTTTAGTTTTCTGCTGTGAACTAATCCTATACTTGTCATGGAGTTCGGCTGCTATTTTAAATGGAAGGAGAAAAGTGAGATCTCTCCTTGTAGCTCAGTTCGTTCGTTCATTCATTCAATAAATATTGTCTTCCCACTGTGAGCATAGCAGTCAACTAGTCCCTGGAGACCAAAGATGAATAAGACAGTCTGTGCTATGTGGATTTTTGTACAGATGCTTACTTCGTCATGTCTTTTATTTCAGTGTCTGGATAAGGTAGAGGTGGAGATGAAGACATGTGAGGAGCCTCGGCCTCCCAACGGACAGTCTCCCATTGCTCTTGCTGCAGGACAGAGGTTAGTTGGAAACATTAACTGTTCCAGATCACCCTTTAGTTAAAAAATAAAAACTTTATTATGGAAAATTTAAAACATACACTAAAGTAGAGAGAATAGTGTAATGAACCCCCATGCACCCAAGATCTAACTTCAACAGTTATTAACATATTTTGCCATTTTCCCCCATCTTTCTTTTACCACTTTGTGGCTATGTGTGTGTTTGTGCTATAGTACTTGGAAACAAATCCCTGACTATATAATTCCACCTGTAAGTATTTCTGTATTATGTATCGTTAATGAAGACTGGGAAGAAAGAAGAAAAAGACCCCTGCAATACTGTTATCACAATTAATAAAATTAACAGCAATTTCTCTTAATATTATCTAATATGAATTTCATATTCAATTTCCTGAATTGTTTCTAATAGATTTTTTACACTATAGTGTGGATCAGAAGAGCTCTACACATTATTTTAGGTGATATGAGTTTTAAAGCTTTTTAATTCTAACCACCCCCCGCCCACACACACACTTTTAAATATACCATTTATTTGTAGAAACTGGATTGTTTTTTTCTAAAGAATTTCCCACATTTTATATTTTTGGCTGATTATTTCTTCAAATTATTTAAAATGTTTCTCATTTAATCTGGTAGTTAGATTTAAAGTTTTGATTTGATTTAATTTTTTTTTTAATAATAATATTTCAGAAATGGTACTATGTATTTCCTATTGTAACATATCTGGAGACACCTAACGTCACTATGGTTAAGATTGATTAGTGGATGCAAATGATGTTGGCCTCATTTGTCCATTATGATAAGATCCTTACCTACTTTCCACCACATGGTTTAAGGACCATTGATGATAGTTGTCTAGGTCCTTTATTTCATTGTGGGATACAAAATAGGGATTTTATAACTATTTTCTTCTTATTGCATTTATTAGCTATGGTCTTTAAAGAATGTTCTTTTACCAACTATTTGATTATCCTGAAATATAGTTTGTACAGGAATGTCAGGATAAATGCTAGATTATTTACCTTTATCACATTTAAGAATTATGTACACCTAAACCAGATACAATGTTATTTATAAATTATATCTCAACAGAAAAAGAATTATGAGTTGACACCCTAATAATCTCCAGAGAATTATTTTAGGTGGTGGGGGGAAGAAGGAGGCTTATTGTTTTGAATTTATGGATTTTTTTTTTTTTAGTTTTATTAGGGTGAAATGGACATAAAATAGACTGCATATCTATAAAGTATACAATTTGATAAGTTTTGGCGTTTGCATATACCCATGAAACCGTCAACACAATCAAGATAATGAACATATCTGTCACCCCTATACATAGTGTTGTTCTTCTTTGTATCCTCTCCCTTCCCTTTCCCACCCCCTCTTATTCCCAGACAAACACTGGTTCTCTGTCACTATAGATTAGTTTGCATTTTTATAATTTTATGTAAATGAAATTATATAGTACGTACTTTTTTTTGGTCTGACTTCTTTTATTGAGCATAATTTTGAGATTCATCCATGTTGTTAAGTTATCAATAGTGCATCCATTATTGCTGAATAATATTATTTCATTGTGTGGATATAACAGTTTATTTATCCATTCACTTGTTGATGGACTTTTCTTTCCATTTTTTGACTATTGTGAATAATGCTGCTATGAATTTTTATATACAAGTTTTTGTGTGGTTATGTGCTTTTATTTCTCTTGGGTAAACACCTAGGAATGGTGTGCTTGAGTGGTATGGTGGGTAAGGATTTAACTTTTTAAGAAACTGTCAAACTCTTCCAGAATGGCTTACTATTTTACATTCTTTTTACGTACTTTCACATTTTACATTTTTTATGTCCTATGTTTACATTGACTTTTTTGGTTTTTGTTTTTAATTTAAATTTACTTTTTAAATATGTTTGTTGTATGTCATACTTTTACAGTCATTATTCTTTTTGGTGTTCAGGTATCCCTATCTTTGGCTAATGAGAATCTTTCAAAGTCACTTCCTGAGTCTTTTGGACAAGACCCTAGTAATTGTCCTGCTTTTAGACAGAGCAAGATGTTTTAGGCTTCTCTTTACATCCTTACCTCAGACCTGGAATCAAACATTTCTCCAAGGAACCCTAATTCCTTTTAGTGAGAAATATTATTTAGAGACTGCAGTCTGGGCAAATTGTATTCATTGAATTATCATTGCTTTAAGGGCTTTTCAGTGTTTAGTTCTAGGGCAAAGGTATTTTTAAGAAAAAGAAAAATAAATCATGATGATATCCTGATATTTCTCAATTTAAAAAAGAGGATTTGAGTTAACTTTTTAGATTTAATATTTGTATTTTTTATTCATGTGCCGAATCTTGCTTCCTAACAACAATAACATAGTAATAAATGATTTACTTTTTTAATAGTTTCAAAAAATAACAAAACTAATATTATAACTATCAATAAAACTACTGAATGCAGTATATTTCTATGTGTATGTATATGTTTTAACCTTTTGATATATCCAATTAGGAATGTGTGGTCAAAATACTGTGTTTTAAAGTCACTTGAAGTCATTCTTCATATATTTGGGTATTAATTTGACATAGAGAGGTTCATTTTTTTTTTTCCTAAGGACAATTTTTTATTGCAGTTTTAGTTTCACAGTAATATTAAGAGGAAGGTATGGAGATTTCCCATGTATCCTTGCCCCCATGCATGCATAGCCTCCCCCATTATCAACGTCCTCCACCGGAGTGGTACATTTGTTAACAATTGATTAACCTACATTAACACGTCATAATCACCCAAAGTCCATAGTTTACATTAAGGTTCACTCCTGTTGATACATTTTGTGTATCCATCATGATAGCATCATACAGTGTATTTTCACTGCCCTAAAAATCCTCTGTGCTCCACCTATTTGACTCTCTCCCCACCCTTAACCCTTGGCAATCAGTGGTCTTTTTACTGTCTCCATAGCTTTTCCTTTTCTAGAATGTTATATAGTTGGAATCATACAATGATTCTGTAATTTTAGAATGGCTTCTTTCACTTAGTAATATGCATTTAAGGTTCCTTCATGTCTTTTCATGTTATTTCCTCCATGTCATTTCTTTTTAGTGCTAAAGTATATTCAATTGTCTGGGTGTACCACAGTTTATTTATCCATTTACCTTCTGAAGGGCATCTTGGTTGCTTCTAAATTTTGGCAGTTATGACTAATGCTGCTTTTAATGTCCACATGCAAGTTTTTGTGTGGACATAAGTTTTCATCTCCTTTGGGTGAATATGAAGGAGCGTCATTGCTAGTTTGTATGGTAAGAGTATGTTTACATTCGAAAGAAACCACTAAAACTGTCTTCCAAAGTGGTTTTATAATTTTCCATTCCCACCAAAGATCAGTGAGAGTTCCTGCTGCTTCACATCCTCCTTACCACTTGATGTTGTCAGTGTTCTGGATTTTTGCTATTTGCTATTCCAATAGGTGTGTAGTAGAATCTTGTTTTAATTTGCATTTCCCTGATGACATATGATGTAGAAAATCTTTTCGTATGCCTCTTTGCCACTTGTATATCTCTGATAAGGTTTCTATTAAGGTCTTTGGACTATTTTCTAATTGGGTTGTTTGGTTTTTTATTGAGTTTTAGAGTTCTTTGTATATTTTGGTAACAGTCTTATCAGATGTGTCTTTTGCCAGTATTTTTTCCCAGTTTGTGGCCTGTCTTCTCATTCTCTGTCTTTTACAGAACAGAAATTTTTAATTTAATGAAGTCCAGTTTATCCATTCTTTCATGGATCATGTCTTTGGTGGTGTTGTATCTAAAATTGCATCACCGTTCCCAAGGTCATCTAGGTTTTCTCGTATATTATCTCCCAGGAGTTTTATATCAGTTTGTTTTTAATTTTTTAATTGTTTTTAAATTTATTTTTTTAACTATATAAAATTACATGGTTCCAAAGTTAAAACTATAAAACATGTATTACAAATAATCTTCTACTCCGTGGGTGCATTGTCACTCTTAATGTTGTTTTCTTGTTGAACAGAAATTATTAATTCTAATGTAGTCTAGTATATCTATTTTTCTTTTTATGGTTGGTACTTTTTTGTCTTGTTTAAGGAATCTTTTCCTATCCTAAGTCATGAAAATATTCTCTGTTTTCTTCTAAAAGCTTTGTTATTTGATCTTTCACTTTTAGATCTCAGTCAACCTTGAAACTGATTTTTTTTTGGCTTAATTAAGATAGGGGTTCATATTTTTGTTCTCTATAGATAGCCTCAGATTGACTGTGCACTGTTATTGACAAAAACATCTTTTTATACTACACTGTCACCTTTGTCTTTTCTTTTTTTTCAACTAAGTTTATTGGGGGAACATTGGTTAATACAATTATATAATTTTCAGGTGTACATTATTATTTGACATCTGTATATTCTACTGTGTGATTACCATCCAAAGTCCCATTTCCTTCAGCTACCATATATTTGATCCCCTTTACCCACTTGTCACCTTTGTCTTAAATCAAGTGATTCCCAGTGTAGTTTTGATTTTTGAGTGAGATTGAACATCATTTTTGTTTAATATCTGTTTACATTTATTTTTCTGTGAACTGTCCATACTTTGTCCTATTGGACCGTTGGTCTTTTTCTTCTCAAGTTTTTGAAGCTCTTTATACATTAGAGATATTAGCTATTTATGACATAAATTACAAATATACATCTACAGTTGGCCCTTGAACAACATGGGTTTGAACTGTACAGGTCCACTTATACAAAGATTTTTTTCAATAAATATGTACAATACTGTAAATGTGTTTTCTTTTCCTTATTCTATTAATAATATTTCTTTCTCTAGCTTACCTTATTATAAGAGTACATTATATAATTCACATAACATACAAAATATGTGTTAATCAACTGTTTGTTATTGGTAAGGCTTCCAATAACGTAAGGCTCTTAGTTAAGTTTCTAGAGAGTTGAAAGTTTTATGTGCATTTTTGACTGCGGGGAGGGGTAGTGGGGTAAGTGCCCCTAACCCCCTCGTTATTCAAGGGTCAACTTTATATGTATGTTTGTTTTAGTTTTAAATTTCAAGACCTTCTTTTCATTTGTTGTAATAGAATTGATTTCACCTATATGTCAAGAATGTCTTTGTTTTCCATATCCAGAAGTACTTCAAGATGGCCTTCATTCTTCCTTGTCATTTCTGGCCTCTCACTTTGGAAGTGTAGTTGTGGTCTTTGGGATATATTTGATAGGGTAAAGGTGGAACTGTCCTTGATTAGATTTCACAGTATTATACCGCTTGCTCACCTAGTTGTACTTCTTTCCTCTTTTCACTGCTTTTGCAGAGTATGCACTGTCTTTGAAGATTTCATGGAAACCTGGTGTTTCCTTTCTGTAGTTATACCTTCCCTCACAGAATATGTTCAGATATTTATTCAGGAAGTTTGCGGACTATAAAAAGATTTTTTAATTTATTCTTTGTAACAGAAGGAAGATTGTTTCCAGGTAAATTCTTTTCCTTTTATTCCATTCTTTTTTTTTTTTTTAAATCCTATTAAAAAGAATACTGTGTCATCATCATAAATTTCTTTTAGAAATTTAAAAAATGTAAGAAAGTAGAAATGAGAAGAGAAATAAAAAAGTCATTCACTTTTCTAGCACCCAAAGATGGGCATTGTTAATAGTCTTGTCTGATGTCTTCCAGTGTAAAGAGTATGTATGGTCTCACATGGTCCCGAACATTGGTCTCATTTGTTGTAGTGAATATGGCTTTGCCGAGAAGGTGGTGGAAGGGATGTTCATCATCGTCAATTCCATCACCATCAAGATTCACTCCAAGGCCTTCCATGCTTCTTTTGAATTGTGGCAGCTCCAGGGTTATAGTGTCAACCCCAACTGGCAACAGAGTGACCTCCGCCTCACCCGCATCACCGACCCCCGCCGAGGAGAGGTGACAGCTCTAGTATTGCAAGAGGAAAGAATGGCAGAGGGGGTGTTTAGAGTAGGATTAATCCTTAAAGGTTATTATTCCTCCTTGGGGGATTTCCTCAAATGATCCCCTATTCTTGGGAACCCAAGAATCCCTTCTGTCCAGTGTTACTACTACATCCTGTCCTCAGTTATGGATCTCTGATCCACTGCCTTCTATTGGTAGGATTCCAGCTGAGAATGGTGGGAATCTCTGCCTTGCCAGTCTCGCTTGGACTTCTGGCCTCTTGGTTAATTTCATACACAAAATTAAGGGATTTTACTTTCTCTCCTTCTAGGTTTTAACATTTAAGGAAATAACTTGGCAAACACTTCGGATTGAGGCAGATGCTACAGACAGCGGTGATCAAGACCTGGTCACCACCCCACTGAGGCTTATTACCAACCAAGGCAGGATCCAAATAGCCCTCAAGAGAAGAGTGAGTGTGTTCTCTGTCTTCATGAAAAATTCCATCTTCCATCTTCCTAGACAGCCTGGGAGTTGGTATATTCTCTTTTAAAATGTTATTGGTCCCTGGAATGACAGTTGAAAAGGGAGGACTTGCAATTCAGTGTTGTACAGTATCCACCAATAAGAGAAGATTTCCACCTCTCTGTCATCTTAATTTTGACAACCACAATTTTTACTCATATATAGGGACACTGACATAAGCACCTGGCAATTGTCTGTTCCTGCTTTAGTAGTTTTAGGAAACTGACTCTCCAAAGTGCTCGATACTTTCCTTTCATGGACTGGCGATTGAACAGCCATCTCTGAAACTGATTGGGTGATAGTCACTTTGAGGAGCTGGAATGATACAAGATATTGAACCTGTGTTCTCTGTGGCCCCTTCAGACCAAAGATTGCAACGTCGTAGCCTCCAAGCTGATGTTCCTTTTGGATGACCTGCTCTGGGTGCTGACTGACTCTCAGCTCAAGGCTATGATGAAGTATGCAGAATCATTGAGCGAGGCCATGGAAAAGTCAGCCCAGCAGAGAAAGAGCCTGGCCCCCGAACCTGTACAGGTTAGAGGCAAAATAGATTCCCTTGGTGGGGCTGGGGAGATGGTAGGCCAGACCATATTCATACCAACATAGTTGAGTCTAGACTTTATTTGGCTTATTTGGGGGACTTGTCATTTACTTCTGGATGGGCATAGGCTTTGCCTGGGCCTCTGTTTTATTTATTTATTCTGTTCATTGGGTGCCTCCTGAATGTTAGATATACAGTGCTAGCCACTGGAGAGGAAAAGTAGAATAAACCTTTTGTCCCTGCCCTTGGAACACACCATTTTGAAATATGGACCATAAACAAGTTCTTACAATGTGATGTGGTAACTGCTGTAAACATTATGCTGTGAGAGCACAAGGACAAGGCATCTAACTACCCAGGCTGAAAGAGGACATTTAAGGAAGACTTCCTAAAGAGGTATTTTTAGCATCCATTGGTTAGCTAAGTCCTGGGGTGTAAGAGCTTAGAGGGCAGTTCAAACCTCAGAACAGAATTCTGACAGTTACTAGACTAATTAAGGTTTTTGAATTTGGGTTATTTAGGTGGGACAGACCTAAGTGCGTTGCCAGGTAAACAGTTATGAGAGGAGAAGGAGCATCTTGCTAAATTATGGTTTTCTTCAGGCTGGACTAAAGCTTTAGAAAAGTTTACAAAGAAGTCCTTCAGGGTCTGGACTTCTTGTTTTTCTCTCTTTCAAATGTAGGTCACTTCACCTGCTCCTAGTGCCCAGCAGTCCTGGGCCCAGGCATTTGGTGGCAGCCAGGGCAGCAGCAACAATAGCAGCAACCGCCTCAGCCAGTACTTTGAGAACTTTGATGTGAAAGAGTCCTCCTACCATCTGCTCATCTCCCGCCTGGACCTGCACATTTGTGATGATAGCCAGTCCCGAGAGCCAGGTACCCTGTGAGGCCTGAGCCTTGGCTGGGTGGTCCATCATTGCCTTCAGCTCTGGGCAAAGCTTGGGGAGGATGGCTCTTTTCCAGAGACACTGTGGAGTACTTTGATTGACTTCCCTTAATCACAGGCATTCCTTGAGCCTCAGCCTTCTTGTGATAGCTCTCTTTCTGTTAGTGTGAGTAGTGCTCTTCAGCCTTTAGGGTACAACAGAACCACCTGTAATACTTAATAAAATATAGATGCCGGTGCTATCCCCAGACTGCACTTAAATCAGAATCTTCAGGGGCAGAGCCCAAGCAGTGCACGCTTTTTTTTTTTTTTCTCTGAATGTCTCTTGGGCAATGCTGACCACTGGTGTAAGCATTAGGAAAGTAAATTCAACTTTAGGAAACCTCAGAATTTTCAGATTTTTAAGTCATTTTAGGTAATTATTATGTGTACATGTGTTCTTCCCAAGCAAGGAGTATTCTTGCTTGCTTATGCTGTGTTCTTGTCTTGCTTTTATGTTCATTAGAGCAATTAGTATTACATACACATATACATTTATTCAGGATGAAGAAGTAATTGACTCATTTCTTTATAAACCTTGGGGAAATCACTTAACTACTTGCGTAAGCTCTTCGAGTTTCTTAATTTGTAAACCTGAGTTAAATTATATCTTGTTTACCTCACAGGTTGTTGTCAGGCTTAAATGAGATAATACTCTGAATTTCGAGGACTTTAATTATGGGCAGATATTAACTGTGATGCCAGGTTATTTTCCCTCTGTATTTCCCTTTGCCACCAGTTCTTGGTTTTAGATGCTCTCATATGGTAAATTTGTCTCTTGCTGCCTTATCCTCTCTGAAGATGATGTTTGCCTCTTAATGAGACATAGACTAACCTTCCTTGGGTGCACTTACCTTTTCTTTTCTTCCTGGGGCACCAAGCAGCATTACTGTTCTTGCTTGGCTATTCCTTTGTTTTGAGGTGACTTCAGGCCCCCTATATTCCCACTCAGAGCTAAAAAGAGTAGTTACAGCATAAAGATTGTTTTTACCAACACAGGAAATAAATTGTTCACTGGTTTGCCACCCATTCATTTTGGAAGTTCTTTGTTAAAGTGATTAATATTTTGTGTGGTTGTTTCTTCAAAGTGTTACCATAAAGGCTTTGGTTCTTTTGTTTTTAATCCTTTCGGAAGTCTGTATTAAGAGTACATTGTTGAGAGTTTTATCCTTTTGTTTGATGAGGGATATAGAACAGTGTCCTTTTCATGTGGCAGGATCCTGTAATCTATACTGCGATGTGAATAGCTGTAGCCTTACCTATAGCTCCCACTTATTTATTAAACTAAATTAATCTAGTTGGTGAAATTTATGGAAGTTTCAGATGAGATATTTTTAGATGGGGGTTCACTTCCAGCCTACCATACCCAGGTATACTATATGATGCTAAATTAGCAAGGAACAGGAAGAGTTCTTGTGACTTTGACTTTTCTCCTTGGGTTTAGGGAGAAGAGAAGGGAGAACTAGGTGGTACAGGAAGGGCTTTAAGATTCTCTGGAGTTGTTCTGTTTAATATGGTAGCTGCTAATGAAATGTTGGCTTATCTAAATTCAGATGTGTTGCAAGCGTAATATATACTCAGGATTTTTAAGATATAGTATAAAAATACAGTGTAAAATACCTTGATAATTATTTTCATATTGATTACATGTTAAAATGATAATATTTAGGTATATTGGTTTAAATATGTATTACTAAAATTAATTTAATTTCACTTTAAAAAAAATTTTCTTCATGTAGCCACTAGAAAATTTAAACCTACTTATGTGGCTCACATATTTCTATTGGGTAGTATTGCTTTACTAATCTGTCCAATATGGTAACCACTAGCCACATGTGGCTATTTAAATTAAAATTAAATTAAGCAAAATTAAATGAGTTCCTCATTTCCACCAGCCACATTTAAGGTACTCAGTATAAATCTATAGACCATAGAAGATGTCCATCATCACAGAAAGTTCTTTTGGACAGTGCTGCTTAGAGACTCCATGAAGGCTACATCTACCTTCTTTTTCATTAAGGGACACTGTAGCCTGTTGGGGTCCCTGAATAACATGCTAACATATCCTTTGGTATTAGAGGTGGAATTATTGGAAGTTGGGTGGCCGGGGATTGTTTAGCTTGAGTCAGGGCAGCACTGTTTCTTAAAATCAAACTAGATCCTTGACATGAGTCTTGGCAATGATTTTAATTTGGATTTGACAAGAAATCAAAGAAAACAAAAATAAAAATAAACAAGTTGGACTATATCAAACTAAAAAGCTTCTGCACACCAAATGAAACCATCAACAAACAAAATGAAAAGGCAAATGAGAGAAAATATTTGTAAATCAGATATCTGAAAAGGGTAATATCCAAAAAAATATACAACTCAATAGCATGAAAACAATCTAATTAAAAAATGGGCAGAGGATCTGAAAGACATTTTCCCAAAGAAGACATACAGATGATACATGAAAAGGTATTCAACATTACTAATTATCAGGGAAATGCAAATCAAAACCACAGTGAGATATCACCTCACAGCTGTTAGAATGGCTGTTATCAAAAAGACAAGAAATAAAGAGGAAAAAAAATGATGTATATAATAGAGGCTTTGTTCATCCCTCTGGTGACCAAATCAAAGTTGTGATGGAAACAAGGAGCAGCAGCAAGGAAAAAATCACCTGAGATCTAGATGAACAAGCCATACAACTAGGGAGAAATCCAAGAAATCACTCTGTAATGGCAGAAGGTAGGACGGTGCGAGGACGCAGAGCTGCCTGGAGAGACAGAGGCTGCGGCAGTGGCAGATGCCTCTTAAAGCGGCTGCGACCGTGAGCGAACTTCCATGGTGACGGACCTGCTCGCTCTGAACACCAGTGCCGATTCAGCTGTGCATAGTGGGCACCAAGGACTTACAGGGAGACATTGTCAGAGTGAGGGCCGAGGCGAGACTCACTTTGTCCAGAAGTGCTGGCAATATCCATTGTTCTCTGTTGAGCCCTTCCCCTTCCCAGTGTGCAGACTCAGTGCCGCCATCGCCGTGACATCATCAAACTAGATAACAAAGGTCTCTCCACCCAGAGGACTCCCTGAAACCCTGCCTCCCCAACTCGCAGCCCCAACCAAGCCACATGCAGGTGTATCCTCAGTAAGTCAGGTGCTCCTTGCTGAGCAATGCCAAGACTCAACACTGGTGTCAGCTGGCCTCGGTTTCTGGTGTGGCCTTTTGAGGCAACTATAAGCACAGCATCTGTGAATTGCTTGCTGAAGCTTAACAGGTGGCCCTAGAGGGGCGGAAGCTTGGGCTAAGTTTGTCCTACAGCTGAACCCCTCTCCAGACTGTACCACTGGACACCTACTATGCAAATGCACACTAATAAGACCGGTAGACTTAGGAGCATTGCTTAGTACATAGAAACAGACACAGAAAGGTAGCCAAAATGGGAAGACAAACAGAAACCATATGACAGAACAGAACAGAGATCCAAATATAATGGAGTCAAGTAATCTAACAGATGCAGAGTTCAAAACACTGGTTATAAAGATGCTCGATGGACTTTTGGGAAGTGTAGATAAATTCAGTGAGAACTTCAACAAAGATAAAAAACATAAAAATAGAAATGGAAATTATAAAAGGGAACCAGTCTGAAATGAAGAACACATTATCTGACATGAGAAGTATATTAAATGGAATAAACAGAGTGAATAAAGAGGAGGATCAAATGACCTATATAGAGGATGGGAAGCGAAGGACACTCAATCAGAATGGCAAGAGATAAGATCTCAAGACTATAAAAGTAATTTAAAGATCATATGGGACACTTAAGGGTCTAAATATCCATCTGATCAATGTAACTGAAGAAAATCAAGATGTTGAACAGCTGTTTGAAGAAATAATGATGGAAAACTTCCCTAACCTGGTGAAGGAAATGAGCATAAAACCCTAGAAAGTTAAGAGGATTCCAAACATCAGGGATCCAAAGAGGCCCACACCAAGAAACATCTTGATTAAAATTCCAAAGGTTAAATACAAAGAAGGAATATTAAAAGCAGCAAGAGAAAAACAGGTAGTTATGTATAAAGGAACACCCAAAAGACTGGCAGCCGATTTCTCAAAAGAAATGTAGGACAGAAGGGTTTGGCAAAAAATATTCGACAGGATGAAGACCCAGGATCTACAACCAAGAATACTTTATCCAGCAAAGCTATCATTTAGAGTTGGAGAAATAAAGAGCTTCCTAGACAAAAATAAACTAAAGAAATTTATCAATACCAAGCCAGTGTTACAGGAAATGTCGAAGGGACTTCTTTAAGAAGAAAAAAAAATGTATCAAAAACAGGAAAAAAGAATGGTAACAACTACATTTCTATCAATAAGTACCTCAAATGGAAAAGAGTTAAGTGCTCCAACCAAAAGATAGAATGGCTAAATGGATAAGAAAACAAAACCCCTGCATATGAAAAGGAAGGAGATGAAACAAGATATTGCTTTGATGGACCTAGAAGATATTTAAGTCACAGAAAGATAAACACTGTATGATTGCACTTATATGTGGAATCTAAGGAATAAAAAGAATAAACTAATCAAAAATGGAGTCACAAATATAGTGGACAATTTGATTATAGACAGAAGGGAGCGGGGTCTGGGGGCGCTGGGAGAATGAGATGAAGGGTTAAAGAAGTACAAATTAGTAGCTGATGGATAGTCATGGGGATGAGGAGCACGGCATAGTGAATGCAGTTAGCATTAATATGTTGGCTAGGTGGAGGGTCAGGGGAGGGAGGGAGTAATTTGGATCGTTTTACAAAATATATAGATGTCTAACCAATGTACTGTATACTTGAAACTAATTAAATTAAATAAATTTTTTAAAAAACTAGAAAAAAACAGGAAATAAGTGTTGGTGAGGATGTAGAGAAAGGGAATCTCCTTGTGCACTGCAGGTAGGAATGTAAGTTGGTATAGCCACTATAGAAAACAGTACGGATGTTCCTCAAAAAGTTAAAATAAAACTACCATATGATCCAGCATTTTCACTTCTGGGTATTTGTCTGAAGGAAATGAAAATATTAACTCAAAAAGATAACCATACCCCATGTTTGTTGCAATATTATTTATAGTAGCCAAACATGGAAGCAGCCTAAATGTCTATTAATGGATGAATGGATAAAGACATTCACACACACACACACATCTCTGTGTGTGTGTATGCAATGGAAAATTATTCACCCATGAAAAAGAAGGATATCTTGCCATTTGGGACAGTGTAGGTGGACCTTAAGGGCATTATGCTAAGTAAAATAAGTCAGAGAAAGACAGATACTGTATGATCATACTTATATGTGGAATCTAAAAAAACTAAACTCGTAGGTAGAGAGCACAGATTAGTGGTTGCCAGAGGCAGGGCTCAGGAGGGGGCAAAATAGATGAAGGGCTAAAAAGGTACAAACTTGTTATAAAATAAATAAGCCATGGAGAAATAATGTATAGCATGGTGACTATAGTTAATAATACTGTATTTATAAGAAAATTGCTGAGAGAGTAGATCTTAAAAGTTCTCATAACAAGAAAAAAATGTATACAATGTGTGGCGATGGATGTTAACTAGACTTATGGTGATCATTCACGATATATACAGATATTGAATCATTATGGTGTATAATTGAAACAAATAAAATGTTATATGCCAATTATATCTCAAAAAAAAAAAATCCAAAAAACTGGAGCATCTCACACTTCAGAGGCTTCAAGGAAGAGGTCAATGGTTGGTAGGGAAGTGTCACCTGCCTTTTTTTTTTAATGAACAGAATAAGGCCTGTGAGCCCCAAACTTTGTCTCTCTTTAGGCTAGGCTATTCTTTTCCAGCAGCTCATTGGAGAGTTTTAATTAGTCATTTATGAACACTATCATTTGTCTCATACGTAATTATGTGTTTATAATTAAATATGTTGGTGATTGATAATTTGATTTCATTTCTAGACTCTGTTTTAATATGCTCAGTCTGTGTAGTTTGTTCTTTTAGCTCCAAGTAACTCCAACAGAGCATGGCTGTGAAACTCTCTGCTGTCATTAGTCTAGGTCATACATTTTTAACTGAGATGTTATTACCCCCAAGCAGGTAAAAATTGACTCTTTTCTTTTAAACAGCTTCATTGAGATATAATTCACATACCATAAAATTCACCCATTTAGAATATACAGCTTATTGTTTTTTAGTATGTTCATAGAGTTGTGCAGTCATCACTACAATTTAATTTTAGAGCATTTTTGTTCTCCCTAAAAGAATTCCTATATCCATTAGCTGTCACTTCCCATTTTGTAGCCCTAAGCAACCACTGATCTACTTTCTGTCTTGATATGTGCCTATTCTGGACATTGAAAATCGGTTCTTTGGTGGGGAGTTAAAAAATCTTATATGTAACAATGTTTTGCAGTCCTCCAAAGCTTAACCCTGTCTGACAAAATTTTATTCCTTGGTATTTAATTTCTCTCATTGGATATGCTTGGATGGATATCACATGAGTAGCATTGATGTTGAGTTCATGAAAGATACAGAAAATGTATGGAAAATCAGTACTACAAACTATGGTGAATAGAGGGCTGTGATTAGAGGACTTCCTCTCAATCAGTTACTTGATATCAAAGTCATATGGTGAGAGATGGCCTGCACATGCCTGTTGGCTGCCATTGGCTGCCTTGTCAGTGTTGTTTATGTTTAATCTTAGTAGTTTTGTGATTTGAACTTTGAAGATTAAATTAAAATAGTTTATATTTTATTACTGAATTCTAAAAATGTTATTCAACCCATCATTTAGTTAAGTGCTAAAAAGAAAAAATATTGATAATATCCGAATGAATATGTACCAGCAAAAGGTTCTTTTTTCTTTTCTTTCTTTTTTTTCTTTTTTTAGGTGAGGCAACCTCACAGATTGCAAGGACCTTGTCAGCTTACAATCTCTTATTTTTTATTTTCAATGCCTACAGCACTTGGTCTTCCTAGGTGGTCTCACATCCAAGTACTAACCAGGTCCGACCCTGCTTAGCTTCTGAGATCAGACGGGATTGGGTTTGTTCAGGGTGGCATGGCCATAGACAGGTTATTTTTTCATATCAAGGAAAGGTTAAAAGTTGAATTCACTAAATAGAATTTTAAGACATTAATTTAAAATTTTCAATTGTTTTGCTAAAAATAATTTTCAATAATTAAAGATTTGGTTATAGTATATATATACAAATTGAAAATTCATATATATAATTTGATACATTATAATTTATATAAGTAAATAAATTACATTAAAAATTGCTCAGCAAATATAGTTATAAAGTTAAGTTAAATATTAGCTTTAAAGTTTTTAATTTAACTTTTAAAGGAACTATTTAGTCTTTCTTAAATTTGTATTGAATAAAAGGAGTAGCTTTATATTCTTTTTATGTATAAAGCACAGATAGACATATAGTACATAAGCAGATATATAGGAGTATATCTGTGGTATTAAAAATTTCCTGGAGAAGGGGCAGTTAGGAAAAAAATGTGTAAGAATGCTCCTTAGAGAGTATGAAAAAAATATTGAGAAACAGACACACGTTGTAGGTATATCTCTTGGTAGGATGTTGATTATTAGTCCAGAACTTGGGGTGGTAAGATCTAGATTAGATGGAAAAGGCTCTCCTGATTGTAGGTGTATCAGCTTATACCCAGAGGATCCTATGGTATTTTCCTTCGCCCTAGTAAGGGATAGGGTGGAAGTACAGAATAGGATAGCTCAGGCAATACATATATGTGGAAAAGTAGTCCCTACTCTTGTAGTTAAGAGAGTCTAGTTGAAGAGAAAAGATAGAAACATGGAAAATTCATTCATTCAGTAAGAATTTAATGTAAATTCAAGATAAACATAATACAATGTTTGACTTATTGCTAAAAGTTCCAATTTACAATATTCTGTATGTTTATTTTACAATGTTCTTATCATTACAGTATTTTTAGTATTCCATGGTATTTTGTATGTACAGTATATAATGATTGTCTAATATAACAGCTTTTGCTCCGAGGCCAGGATATGAAAAGAGATAATATAGGCCCTGTTTGTTTGGGAATCTGGCTTATGCCTCTCCAGTTGTGCTGAGGGAGAGCAATATAAGAATTTTTAGCATTAGGGGAACTGATCAAACAACACTGTAGAGTATGTCTGTGGGAAACTCAGGATTAGAATTCCTGAATCCTGAGTTTTACAGTTTCTTTTGCCTTTCTGGAAATCTGGCGGCCATTTACAGAGACTGTAGGATATACCTTTTTTTGATCTTTTGGAGCATGTCTATTGACTGTTGCAACTCAAAAGAAGAGGGACTCAGTCTTGCAGATCACCTGACATCATGGTCTTTCAGGCAAGCTGTGTATGAGACCTTTAAGAGGACTTTTAATGCTTCAAGTGTATTTAGACTTCTTTGTTCTTTCTGCTGCTGTTCACCTTTATTTTTTCTTTATAGGTGTCTCTGCAAACAGACTCATGGGTGGTGCCATGCAGCTTACCTTTCGCAAGATGGCATTTGACTATTACCCCTTCCACTGGGCAGGTAGGAGAATTCTGAATGAGGGCAGTTCTAGTATGGCCCAGGTTTTGAGAGCAGATTTCTGGGTTCATCTCTTACTGCCCAGCAAGAAGATACAAGGGATTGCAGCACATGAGGTATTGGAAATAACCCTCTTCAAGATGATATCTTTTGGAAACTTTCAAGGTCCATTATTGATGATTCATCAGTGATGAGAGGAAGTAGGGAGGGAAGGTGGTGCCTAAGATGTTGATTCTGATTATACCCTCTGCCTCTGTTTCCATTGGTTTTAGAGTCTCTCCAGGAGTCTTTGGTCAAAGATGGCAGCAGTCAGCAGCTGGCCTTTAGGAACCTTAGGGAAAAATCCCATATGGAATCCAGAAGAACTTGAGTGTTCTCACTGGATAATTTGTACTTCTCCTAGACCATTCTGGATTGGGGCTGAGGGATCAGATTCTGAACTATGACTATACCACTGGATAGGAAAAATTGGAACACTAGATCTTGATCTTGGACTAAAATCTTTTTGCTTCTTGCACAGGTGATAGCTGCAAACACTGGGTACGACACTGTGATGCCATGGAGACCCGAGGCCAATGGGCCCAGAAACTAGTGATGGAATTTCAGAGTAAAATGGAGAAGTGGCATGAGGAAACAGGTCTGAAGCCTCCTTGGCACCTGGGGGTAGACTCTCCGTTCCGGAGGAAAGCAGGTGAGTGATGAGGAGCTTGAGCGCTCCCGTTGCTTAATCTCTTGCCATTTATCTTTGAATATCCAATGGAGATAAAGCACTGGACTAGGTAGTCATCCCAACTTATTCCTAGCTAATTATCCCAACCTTATTTCATGGAGGGTTGGTGACTTTTGTTTTTTTTACAGAGTCCTGTTTGTCCCCTGGGATAGCTGCAATGTTGAAGAGAGGTTGTCATCACCTCTATTCAATAGGCTGTTGCCTTAGTCTTAAAGAGAATGTAGTTTTTGAGTTCTGTCTAGTAGCTAGACAATGTTAAGCTCTCTTTCCTACATATAGCATTAATGACTTTAGGATTTTTACCTCCTAATTCTCTTAACAATAGGAGTTGAATGTATCTGTTTCTATTTCCCACCTTCTTATTTTTATTTAGATTCCCTCTCCAGTCCTCGAAAGAACCCCCTTGAGAGAAGCCCCTCCCAGGGCCAACAGGCTGCCTTTCGGCCTCCAGCCTGGAATCGCTTACGCTCTAGCTGCATGGTCATACGGGTGGATGACTTGGACATCCACCAGGTGAGGAGCCCAGGACATGGAGAAGTGTAGTTGGAAATGGGTGGGATAGTTCATTTGGAAGGCAACAAGTGTGAAAAAGTTTTGGAATTTGGGGGCTGTTTCCCTTCTGAGTGGGTAGACACTTTTGTCCGTTTTTGTTTCTTTGTTTTGAGCATAGCTGCTGAAGTCAGGACTTGAGATTTCTCCAGTTTCCTCTAAATACCCGACTACAAAACTCCTATTGAAAAAACAAACTTGTGAACAGTGTTAGGCAGGTATGAGAATGCCTGGAATATGTGTAAAAGCACTATTCTCCCTAGGACAGACTTTAGAGGGATAGTAGAGGAAATTGAGGAAATTCTATTCTGGGCACGGCATAAATTATACCAGTAATTCGTGATTGTGTAGGTTTCTTCAGCTGGACAGCCCAGTAAGAAGCCATCTACACTCCTTTCCTGCAGTCGGAAACTTCACAGCCTACCCTCTCAGGTCTCTGCCATTCACATTGAGTTCACAGAGTATTATTTCCCGGATAATCAGGAGCTTCCAGGTAAGCATTGGAGCTGGTCATTTCTTACTGTCCAGCGCTCGTTCTTCCTATTTGTCAGCCTCTGGCCACTAGTTATGTTCTCATTTGTTGTTAGGAGTTTTAGGTGTTTGAGTTAGTTTAGCATACTTTTGTTAAAAATGCTGCCCTGTACAAATATCTACCTTTCCCTCTCTTGATAGTATGATGAATATCAGCTGCTAAGTAGGAGTCAAGCTGCTACTTTGTACATGGTGATTATTTTGTTCTCTGCTTTCTAGTTCCCTGTCCCAATCTCTACATTCAGTTAAATGGTCTGACATTTACTATGGATCCTGTCAGTTTGCTCTGGGGAAACCTCTTCTGCCTGGATTTATACCACAGCTTGGAGCAGTTCAAAGCTATCTACAAATTGGAAGATTCAAGCCAGAAAGATGAACACTTGGACATTCGACTGGATGCCTTCTGGTTGAAGGTAGGAAGAGAGTCAGATTTTTGTTTTCTTTTGGCAGCCACAGTTGCGTTTCTCTCATTGTTATAATCTAGGGTTCTGCTCTGTCCATTTGATAGAAGTAAGAAAAACAGTTTCACAGCCCAGATGGTCTTTCATGTGTATTAATTAATGGTGGGGTATGGAGATACTCAGATGGCCATTCTGAATTGGATTTGATTTTTTCTCTGAAGGTGAGCTTCCCGCTGGAAAAGAGAGAGCAGGCTGGGTCGCATCGGCCCCAGGCCCTTGTCTTCTCTGCATCAGGCATGACTGCCACCAATACACGTCATGCCCCACATTGTAGCTGTCCAGACCTTCAGAGTATCTTCCAAGGTTTTGCTGCTGCTGAGTTCTTTCATTCCAATTTTGTTCACTTTCCCAAGGTTCCAGGTGGTTTTAGCCTACTGCACATACTTTTTTTGCATCATGCCTTCCAAATGGATTCCAGCCTCCTTCAACCTAATGCTCTCCCTCCCCAGAGGCTTAAGGCTTCCCAGGATCTCTGGTCCATCCACTTCCCCCAGATCTCCTTGGACTTTGAGGGAACAGAGAAGTTCAAAAGCCATACCTTGAATTTTGTGGCCCCCTTCCCCTTGTCCATTTGGGCCTGTCTACCCCTCCGCTGGCAGCAAGCCCAGGCACGGAAGCTCCTTTTGGCAGCAGAAGGGAGGCTGAAACCATCAGCCAGCTTTGGTAGTCCTGTTCAGTCTGAGGCCTTTGCCCCTGACACTGTGTCCCATCTGAGGTCAAAGACTGAGCATGATTTGAAAAGCCTATCAGGCCCTACAGAAGTCGTGGAAATTCTGAGGGAAGACAGTGGTAGTATGGATAACAAAGGGCCTCTGACACACCTGGAGGATGCAGCAGATGTTCACATGCTTGTACACTCCCCTGTACATGTCTGTGTGAGGCTTGACCACTACCAATACTTGGCCCTACTGCGCCTGAAGGAGGTGCTACAGGGTCTTCAGGAGCAGCTGACAAAGGATACAGAGGCTATGACTGGGTCTCCCCTACAAGACCAGATGGCTTGCATTGGGGTCCTCTTCCCCAGTGCTGAGGTGGCTCTGCTCATGCATCCTGCTCCTGCTGCTGCTGAAGCTGACTCTGCAGGTTCAGATACCACTAGCCTTATAGATTCAGAGCTATCTCCTTCAGAGGATCGGGAGCCAAAGTCTGATGCCTCCTCAGACCAGGGCCCAGCAAGCCCTGAGAAAGTTCTGGAGGATAGTAGCATTGAAAATCTGGCTGCATCCCAGGGTGGGACACTGCCTCTCGAAAGCAGTGGAGAACTGCAGGACTCAGATTCTTTTGCACAGCAGTTGGTAGGGAAGGGCCATGAGGCAGTTGATTCTCTACAGGCCAAGAGACTGAGCAAAGCCCAAGTACCCAGCTCACCAGCTGCGCTGAAGCCCCCAGATAGCAGGGATACTGCTGTGAATGAACAGGGTGAGCTCATGCCTTTGAAGAACATTGAGGGAGAATTGTCAAGTGCTATTCACATGACCAAGGATGCCACCAAGGAGGCTCTACATGCCACCATGGACCTCACCAAGGAAGCTGTGTCCTTGACTAAAGATGCCTTCAGTCTGGGCAGAGACCGAGTGACCTCCACCATGCACAAGATGTTGTCCCTGCCCCCAGCCAAGTAAGTGGTTTAGTGCCTCCTTCAATCACCCTGTTTCTTCCTCTTAGCTGTGGTCACTAGACTTACGGCCTCTTACTATGTGCACTTTTAGATTGGGAAGCACGATATAGTCCAGAAGAATGCATAGAATGGCCTATTTAATGTGAACACTTTAGTTTTCACAGCTGCCAGCAAGGCAGTGGAGGAATTTTCAGGCTATTTGGAGGTTATAAGTACACCAATTGAAGAGACTCATCTTCAGGCAACATCTAACTCTGTGATAGGGGAAGAACTAGAAATTGGAATAAAATAACACAAAATTCCATGACTTTTCACATGCCTCCACGTATCATAGCCTATTCTTGGGCAGTTTTCAAGTCAACATTTATTATTTCTTAGAATCAAAGTATCTCTTCTTTCACTAATTCGCTACACTATTATTGATAGAGATATGCTATATCAGAATAATAATACCTGGTATCTGGGTGATACTTATTTATTTTCAGTGAGCTCTCATGTAATTTTGTTTGATTTGATCCTCACAGCAGCCTGGTGAGGTAGCTATAGATATTTGTATCCCTAGTTGACGAAACTACACATTCACTGAAGATGCGCCCATGAATACTATATTGTAGATAGAAACCTGGGGCTTTGGACTTGCTCTTTCTGATGCACCTTATCAACGTCTGCCAGTATAATAGAGAAGGAAGAATTTCATCCATTCATTCAACAATATTTTTTAGCCATATTGTATGCCAGGCATTGTGTCAAGCACTGGAGTTAAAGCAGGGGGTAAGCAGAAAAACAGAAATGCAGTCAGAAGAGCAGAAAGGTACAGATTTTTCCATTGGTTGTCTCGTGGATTTAGGAAGGATAATGAAGACTCTTGGAAATCTTTTGTGAGACACTTTGTGGTTTGAGGACTGTGGTGTGAAGACCATTGACTTTAGAGCTTTTATCTTAGTGGATTGTCTTTAGTGGGTCTGTCATCATTACCTGTGGGCGTGCTAGTACCTGCTAGGCATAGATAGTTCAGGAGGAAGGAGAAAGGAAAACTTAAGAGGATGAATGATATAATAATTCTAGCCAACATTTATTGAGTGCTTTCTAGGTGTCAGGCACTTTAATCCATTGACTTCTTGTAACAGCCCTATAAGGCAGGTACTAATATCATTCCCCATTTTACAGATGAGGAAACTGAGGCTCAGAGAGGTAAGAAACTTGCTCAAGATCACACAACTTGTGAGTGGTGGGGCGAGGACTGAAAGCCTGGACTCCCAGTCACCAAATGTGCTGCCTTTTCTAAATGGAGAACAGTAAGGGAGATGGGAAAAGAGGAGAGGTGGAAGAGAGGAAAGAAAGGTGTGTGCTCCAAGCTCTTTTTAAATCACCAACAATGACTTCCTAACTGCATAGGCTAGTAGCCTTTTCTCAGTCCTCCTTACCCTGACTGGCAGTTACTTACCCTGCGAGTCAGTTCATCCTGAGCTTGTGTGACCCACCTAGTTATACTTTGGAATGAGTCTTTTCTTTCAACTTGGGTTCTCCCTTCTTCTTTTTATCCTGTAAATGTAACTGTTCCATAGGGCTAGGCTGTCCATATTCTCATCACCTTTGTCATAGTTTTTATTTTTTAAATTATAAAAATGATTGTGCTAATTTTGTTGACAGTGAGAAAATAGAAGAATACAGAAGGCATAAAAGTCACTTGTAATGACACTATCCAGAGACAGCCACTATTTGGGTCTGTTTTCTTCCACCTTTTATACATGTACTTTGTATCCATGTGAATGCTTATGTGTGTATATATGTTTAATATATAAATATTGTTTTTATAATAATAGGATTATAATATTTCTGTAGACCAGAAAATTTCCAGTTTTATTTACTTAATGTTTTATTATGAATTTTTTGCCATTCATTAGATATCTGTGTGCATAATTTTTAATTGCTCTGTTGTATTCTAGCAAATGGATATATCATAATTTATTCATCCGTTCCACGATCTAGGTGGGAGTCATTTAGTCTGTTTCCAGTTTTTCTCAGGTAGAACCAATGCTGTATTAAATGTCCTTATTTTTGTGAACATTACTCTCTATGCATATTTAAATCTCTAGAATAAAAATCTAGAAGTAGAATTGTTGGGTCAAATCCTTAAGAACATTTTTAATGTTCTTGATGCATCTGCCAAACTTTGAGAAATTTTATATCAGTCTGTTTTTGAATACTTTCTCTCTATGGTATTTTATCCATATCTTCATTTCTGCTGTATTCCATATTTTCATTTGACTTCCCTCCCCCACCCTGCTCTTCATTTAAAATTATCTACTGTACATAGTTCCACATGGATCTCCCAGAGGTACTTCGAACCTCACATATATAAAACTAAATTTCTTATTTCTCCTGAGACCAGTTATTTTCCTTTTTTGGTAGCATCAATCTCCTGCTCATTCAAGCTGTAAATTTTGGTTCTGCTGCTTCCAGTCTTTTGTCAGGTTCTGTCCACAATTCCTAGAGCAGCGGTTCTCAAACTTAAACATGCTTGAGAATCACCTGGAGGGCTTGTTAAAACACCCACTGATGAGCCCTACCCGCAGAGTTCCTCACCCAGTAGGTCTGAGAGGGCGCCCAGAATGTGCATTTCTAAGAAGTCCCCCATTGATGCTGATGCTTCTAATATGATGACACTTTGAAAATACTGCTCTAGTGAGTCTCACACCAGTTTTTCTTGTCTGTTCCCACATGTTGACTATTTTTGTGAACTATTAATTGACTTCCTCATTGGAAGTCTTTTCTTCCTAGCTTATTTGAAAAAGGCAGGTCAAACGTCCTAAAACACAGGTATGATCTTGTTATTTCCCTACTCTGAAACTTTCAGCATTTTCTCTTATACCCCTTGAGTTCATTTGAACTTCTTAGTGTGGCATAATCAATTATTATGATATGTCCACCTGGCACTTTACAGTTTTTTTAATAGACTTTATTTTTTAGAGCAATTTTAAGCTTATAGCAATACTGAGGAGAGATTTCCCATATAACCCCCGCACTTTACAGTTTTCAGAGCACTTTCATATATAATCTTTTATATAGAGTTTTCTGTAATCTGGCTGCAACCCATGTGGTAAAGTGAAAAAAGTACTTATTAGCAAGATGGTAGGAGAGTTGGGTTTTTCTTAATTCCACCTTTAACTGTGACCTTGAGTCAGTTTCTTCATCTGTAAAATGGGAGAATAGGATTAAAAGGTCTTTAAAGGCTTCTTTTCACTATGTTATGTCTTTCTAACTTTATCTTCCATTGTTCTCCCCAACAAAATCTGTGCTCCAGCTGGGTTGAACTGTTTGCTAGTCTGTAAAGGTACTTGCGTTTTCTGGCTCCCTGCCTTTACTTATGTTGTTTCTTCCCCATAGGATGCCCTTTTCCCTATTTCTTTTATAGTCCTTCAAGGACCAACCCAAATGCCACCTCCTTCCATAAAGCTGTTCTTGATCCCTTCTCTTATTCCTTTCCCCACTTTGATATTGCTTAGCCATTGGCTTGTTCTTTCTCCCTCTTTTATGGTGTGTGTAACTTACTCTCATATAATATTATTTATGTATGAGTCTCCTCTCTCCTGATTATAAATTCTTTGAGGACAGAGGATGTCATATTCATCACTTTATTCATCCTTCACCTCTGCCCTGTGCCTAGGACAGTGCCTCGTATGCAGAAGTTATTTAGTAAATACTTGTGGATGAATGTGGGTGAATTCAGGTTCCACCATAAGCACTGGGGCTGTAGGCAGTTGGTCTCTTCTCTATGCGGGATGACCTTAAATAACCTTGACACTTAATGTCAGTATGGGAGAGTTGCTTATGCAATTTGAAATGCTGGAATTATGAGCATTCAGAAAGGTCAACTGTTGAAAAATGGTGTGACTCCTTATAGCAGATAATAGCTGACATCAGAGTTTATGTGTATAATAACTGGGCTGAAAGGGATGGGAATTGCAACGGGATAGAACAATGTTTCCTAAGCCACATTTGTAATTTTTGTTTTTCAAAAAGGGAGCCCATGGCCAAGATTGATGAGGGGGTGGCAGCCCCAGTGACTGGAAGTGCTGCCCGACTCCGATTTTTCTCCATGAAGAGGACAGTATCTCAGCAGTCATTTGATAGTGTCTCATTGGATAACAGTGGCCCCGAAGACCGGATTTCAGTAGACAGTGATGGCAGTGATAGCTTTGTGATGCTTTTAGAGTCTGGTAAGTGGAAGCAGAGCCAGGCAGAGTTGTAGAAGTTTAGAAAGGGTTCTTTCTGCTGCCTGAATTCAGACTGGCAGGATGTAGAAGGGGCTGAGATTTGATAAAATAGACATTTTCTTAACCAAAAAAGAAATTTTAATGGATTTGTGGCTCTAGCTTTATCCCCCACATCTTCTTCTAGGTTACTAGTTAGTGCTTGACCTTTATCATAGAACGAGACTCAGACCAAAGAAGAGAGCACTAGTCTTATAGCTATGTAGCTCTGTGGTAATAGGATTCGTTTTATGGCAGGTATCAATGGTTTATATGTTTGTTGTCTTTTTTTTTTTTTTTTTTTTTGCTTATGCATTTTATTGTTGGAAAATAGCTAAGAGCTTTTTCACTAGATAAAACAAATAACTCTTAGAAATTAGATCAGTTACCACTGGAAGTTACACTGGTGCTTTCAGCTTATTGAAATAGAAACTAAAAATCATCCCTTACAAGTGTGTAAATGAAAAGAAAATAGAATGTACTGATTCTTAAGCTGGGTGGTGTGTACCCATGTTTGTTATTATTTTTAACTTACGGAAAACTTCAAATATATATAAAAGTAGACAGAATTAAGTAATGAACCCTCATATACTCATTACCTAGCTTCAAATATTAAGAACTCCTGGCCATTATTGTTTCATATATATTTCTGCCTACGTCCCTTTTTCTCATATCATTTTGAAGCAAATCCCAAATATATCATTTTATCCATAAATATTTTCATTATGCGTCTCTAGAAAATACAAACTTTTAATTAAGGTAAAAGACACTTAAAATTTACCATCTTAACCATTTCTAACTATAATTCAGCTGGCATTAAGTACATTCAAATAGTTGTGTAACCTTTACCACTATTTTATCTCCGAACTCTTTTCATTCAGAAAAAATGAAACTCTGTACCCATTAAACAATAATTCCTCTTTCTCTCCTCTTCCAGCCCCTGTCAACCTCCATTTTACTTTCTGTCTCTATGAATTTGATCACTCTAGGTACTTCATAAAAATGGAAGCATACACTATTTGTCTTTTTGTGACTGGCTTATTTCATTTAACATAATGTCCTTAAGGTTCATTCCCATAGCATATGTCAGAATTTCCTTCCTTTTTTAATGCTGAATAATATTCCATTGTATGTTTATACCACATTTTGTTTATCCATCCATAGATACTTGAGTTGCTTTCATTTACACACTTCTTAAAAATGTGACCAAATACCACTATTAAAATTAAAAATTAAGAATAATTTCCTTAAATTAATCAACTATCTAGTCATTCTTCAGATTTTCAATTCTCTCATAAATGTCATAAATATTTTGTTTTGTTTTTATAATTGTCATTGTTTTTAGAGATTGTATTTGAACAGAATTTTTTGACTTTCAAACTCTTTTGTTGTCTTTCTTATGCAGAGTCTGGTCCAGAATCTTTTCCACCAGGATCTCTTCCAAATGTCTTAGACAGTGCTGGTGTTCAAGGGAGCCCTATTGTAGATGGTTATGGCCAGGGGTCACCAGAGACGCACAGTTCAGCCTCACCCAGTGGGGAAGACCTCAATCTTCACCCGGTCAGCTGCTGTACTTTCTTCTCTGCAAAGGGTAGGCTCTAGATTGGGAGCTTCGGACTCAGCTAAGAGAGTCTCCTTTTACAGGTCTCAGTTGTGGTTCTGAAGGTGAATAAGGTGTCTTTTGGGATTGAGGTACGTGGTGAGAACCTGACTGTGGCCCTACAAGCAGAGAAACTGACCCTCCAGCAGCTGGGCACCATGGGACTCTGGCAGTTCTTTCATGGACAATTCCCGGGTAAGGATGGCGGCCACTCCAGGAGAGCTGGTGGGATTTATCTGGGGCAACCATAGCTTCACTTGCTCCTTTCACTGTGTTCCAGTGGCAGCTGCCCTAGTGCCAAGCCCTTGGCCCTTCTCTCCAGTAGCCATTAAGGGGAGGAATAACACTGAAGAAGCCTCCTCCTTACAAGCAGCTTCCCAGAGTTCTTTCTGGGATTTTGCATTCACTAGACTTCATTTCTCACATGCTCCTTAAGCTTACATGAGGACAATGTCCACTTACTCATTTGTGTGGCTGCTAACATCAAACTATATCTGACCAAGGAGCGTCTGTCTTTCAGATTAAGTTCTTTGATGTGAATTATCATCTATACTTTAAATGATGACAGGAAAAATCTGGACTTGCTTCATTTAAAAAAATTATCTTTTAAAATATTGAGTAGATACTAAAGAATATTTATAAAATATATGTATAAAATAGTAACAGTACAATGAACTCAAGTACCTACCACCTAGTTTAATAAATAGTTTTAACTTTGAAGCCCCTGGGAACCCCTCTCCTGAACTTTCTTCTGCCTCTCATCCGTCAAAGGGAGTCATGAGAGCCTGAATTTTGTGTTTATCATTCTCTTGCTTTACTTTACAATTCTTTCACATGTTTATATCAGTGTATTATTTACCTTTGTAGGTTTTCAGTTTTTAAAAATAGAATTATAGTTTGTATTCTTTCATGATTTGCTACTTTCAAGTAATGTGATATTCTTCAGATTCTTCCAGGTTGTTGAGTTAGCTATAATTTATTTATTTTCACTACTATATAATATTCTATTATATAAATATACTGCTTTTTGCTTTTTAAAAAACAGCTTTATTGAGGTATAATTTGCATACTTTGAGATACACTCATTGTAAATGTACAATTTGATAAATTTTAGTACGTTTACAGAGTTGTGCAACCATCACCATCACCCCTAAAATATCCCTTGTGCCTATTACTATATTTATTTCTTCAGTCCATTCTAAACAGACATTTGGTTGTTTCTAGTTTTTTTGGTATTTCAAATAGTGTTGCCTTGAACATCTTTGTACCTATCTCCTAGTATATATATTGGAGAGTTTCTCCAGGGTTATATTCCTGAAGGTATAATTTCTAGGTCATTAGAGTAGGTCTAGCTTTAACTGTACTAGATAATGCTAATTTGTTTTCCAAAATGGTTGTACTAATTTGCAGTTATGTAAGTATGTAAGTTCCCTATCCTTGGCTATACCTAAGATTATTCTTATATGGAATTTTAAGGAGATTAGCATAGATCCTGCTTGGCTTTATCAGATACTTGGCTTTATATGAGAAGACCAAGACTTGAAGAAAGGAAGAGACGTTCAAATTTAGCAGAGTTGAGAGTTCTATGTTTTAGAGGTTTTCCTTGGCCATTAGCAGACCAGTTTTTTTATTGGTCCTTAACGTCCCTTCCACCATGGGCATTATAGCAAAGTAGCTAAGCCCATGGTCTTTGCATTTAGGCTGCCTGAATTCTGTACTTGCTACTGACAGCTGTATAACTTTGGGCATGTTAATCTCTGTGCTTAGTTCCTTCATCTCTAAGATGGGACTGATGATAATACTTTTGGCATAAGTTGTTATAAATATTAAATACATGTAAAGTGTTTAACAGTCCCTGGCTGTTAGTTAATATGTTTTCCTTCTGTCTTCTCAAAGATACAAGCTTTCAGGAATCCTCAACTTTGAAGACTGGCCCCATTAGGCCAGCAGTGGGCCTTCGCTTTGAGGTGGGGCCTGGTGCAGCTGTTCATTCCCCACTGGCCACAAAGAATGGCTTCCTGCATTTGCTTCTCCAAGGCTGTGACCTTGAACTGCTCACTTCGGTGCTCAATGGCCTCGGGCCCTTCTTGGAGGATGAGGAGATTCCGGAGGTAGTTCCCATGCAAATTGAGCTCCTGAACTCCAGAATCACCTTAAAGGTGAGAGGAACTTTTGTTTTTTACCTTATTAGGCAAGGAATTCTGGCAGTGACAGCTGTTAGCTTCTTGCCTTGTCACTGTAAAAGATATTGAGGATCAAGTGAGGAAATGCAAATTAGCATTCTTTGTCAACGTTATGGTAGTTACATAAATATGTATTGCTGTCAAGAAATCCTGGGTTCAAGTCAAGAGACCTTGTCTCTAGCCCTAATCTTATCTTTGGCATGAAGCATGATTGTGCAATCCCATTAGTTTATCTGATCCTTCTTTCACCATCTCTAGAATGGGAGGGACTCAGTTATGCCTCCTACATCTTGAAAGAGTATGGATAAACAATGCCATAAAAGAGTTTCAGACTGAATGGTAGAAGCATGGCTTGTTACTCTAAGCTGATTGGGGGCATCATGTGGTTTCCCTCTTTCCTGTAGGATGATATCCCCCCCATCTATCCAACGTCTCCAGGCCCTATCCCCATCACTCTGGCCATGGAGCATGTTGTGCTGAAGCGAAGTGATGATGGTGTGTTCCATATAGGTGGTGAGTTGAGCTTGTTAGCCTCCTGGCTTCTCTGCCTTTTTTCTCCTGTAAGGGAATAGGTAACAACTAGGAATTGTCTGCATGTTGGTAGCAGCTTATCATTAAGAACCTTTGGTTTTTTTCCAGCTGCTGCTCATGATAGACCATCATCTGAAGTACATAAAAGTGAGAAGAGACAGCCCCTAAAAGAACAGGTGTTTTTGGTGCCTACAGGGGAGGCTTTTGGACAGCAGGTGAGGACCTAACCAAACAGCACCTTTCCCATAAACCTTTAGGAGCTATAATCACAGAAACTGGTAAAACTCAGAGGGCTGAAAAAGTTGCTTACTGTGCACAGCTGGTTTGTTTGGGCTCCTGTCACCTAGCAGCAGCTTCTAGAAGTACTGAATAGAGGATATAAATTAGGTGCTAGAGGTGAATGGTTGCTGATCACATGTTCCACCTATTGCTGTCCCTGTAACTGATGAACTCTGAAGATGGGATTAGGCTCTTAGAAAAGATCTAGTTGGGTTCTCTTGATCATCGACCAAACTTGTGGATTTTTCTGCTCGAATTGTTCTAATTTGTTCCCTTACCGAGAGTTTTTTTTTTTTTTTTGCAAGGTAGCTACCTTATTCATTAACTGTGAATTGCTTATTGTTCCTTAGGTGAAAGAACTGCCTACCCTACAAAAGGAACTTATAGAAACCAAACAAGCATTGGCCAATGCCAACCAGGATAAAGAAAAACTTCTTCAGGAGATTAGGAAATATAACCCCCTCTTTGAGCTCTGATAGCAGTGGATTAACCATCTGTGCCAAGGAGAGTGGAGATCACCAGCAATAGCACCACCTATGTGACAGAAGGCACCCTCCAGTGTTGAATAAGTTGGCTAAGGATGTCAGAGGGTCTGAGGAGTGCTCACTTCACTCCTTGTGGTGTCCTTTGTGTTAGTGTTCTAACTTGGATGGAAGACAGGGCAAAGCATGATAATATTCGAGGAAATTGAGGACAGCTTTGTGTGTTGCTTGGGCATCATGTCTTGCCTGTGTATAGCCTTTTCGTCCTCTGCATACTAGGTGGATTCTTCTCCACTATAGGGCCATTTCACCGCCTGGTTTTATGACAGAGACATTTGCTTCCTCCACAACCTGTGTGAATAAGGGAAAGTACCCATCTTTTCAGTCACCCACAGAGCCACCAAAGAGTCTATATCTCAGAGCTTCCTGTAGCAGATCTGAAAAGTCTTGGCCTAACTCTGGCCATAGTAGTAAAGTAAAACAGGGACTAGCCAGCAAGGTGGGAGCCAGGAGAGGCACAAGAATAAGGGAGACCAGGACCCTGCCTTTTTCGGAAAGGGAACTGAGCTCATATCATCTTGGCTGATATTACAATCAGATTTTTCTGGGTTAAGTTTCCTTCCTTTTATGCTTTCATCACTGTGATGCTATGGTGAAAGTAAACAACAGTAGTGGCTCAGTTGTATCACCTTTCCCTTCTATAACACAATTTATTTGATTTTCTTTTAACTTCAAGTATTTGAATTTTTTTTTTAATTTCAAGTATTTATTTGAAATTTAAATCAAGGAGAAAACATCCACTCTGAGCTAGGTTGGAGGCATGATGTGGTGGGGATTAATAGGGCAGCTTGATTCTGAGCCTCTGTTGTCTGCCTAGAGTCCTGTCTCTTTTCCATAGCTGCACCTCAGGTTATTTCCTCTGTCTCCCTGGAATCCCTGGCACATCTGCTTTCCAAGCACTACAACTTTGTACCAGCACACTCCTTAGCACTTGGTGGTTTGGGAGCTGAAAATGTGTTTTAAACTGTAACATAGACATCTCAGTCTCTTGCCTCTCACCCTGCTCTACCACTGTGGCTTTTAAAAATCATGTAATTTTGACTTAAGTAAAGACAAAACAAGAAACCTTCAACCTAGCTAGGTTTTGCCCCTGCCCTATAAAAAAGCGATTTCCCCCTTCTTTCCTTCCTACCTAATTCTTCCCTAACGTTCTACCTTTATCCATACAGTTCTGTTGATATACATCAAGCTTTGTTGATTAGGCAGAAGTTAATCGGCCAACTCAGCTTGAAATGGCAAAATGGTAAACTAGTGATTTAGTAGTGTCAGTAAAATCCTACTCACACATGACCTATTGAAGGAAAAATAAAATGGTTTTCCTTTATGGGAAATCATTCCCGACTTATATGTTATAGTTTTTTGAGGATAAAAAGAAACATGCATTCAAGAAGGAACAAGATCTAATTTGTTCAAACTTTTAAAGAACTTTTGTCAAGTTCTTCACTAAGGCAATTTTAAAAGCACCAGTTACTATGAGATTATGAGACCATTTTGTCATGCTTAGGAAACAACTTAGAATAAACATCTTTCTGGAGAGAATGTTAATGGGAAGTTTCTTCCTGGCTGATGCTTGCTTTAACTTTATTTAAGATTTTTATAAATAACTTGAAAGTAGGATGTGACAGTGCAATCAAATGTTACTGCTTCCAGCCATTGAAAGGTGAACCAGAGAGACTTGAAAAAACAGAACAAAACAAAAAAATAACCCAAATTGCAAAGGAGCTACAAGCCAGACTGTAAACACTCAGGAAAGTGACAGGTGAGATTAGGTGTAGGTAAGTGTAAAGTAATGCACTTATGGACATATCAGCAGCTGACGAGACAGTGAGCTCTGTTAGAACTCAGGAAAGAAATGTAAGTATTGCCGAGAGGGAGAAGGTGTGAATGTGCCGCTGTGGCCAAAAGTTCAGCTGCATCATCAAGAAGGACACCAGGAGACAACAGAGAAAACGGGACCTCATACACAACCGTGGTAATGTCTTAAATTATCTGCACACTTCTGGAGACCGTATTTACAAAATATATGAAGGGAGGAAAGGTCCAGAGAACAGCAAAAATTATCAGGGGTGTGGGGTGTGGAGGTGGCGGGGTGAAGGTACTTAGATGAGGATACATGTTTAAAATATTGACTCCAATTCTGGAAAGATGAAAGCTAAGGATAGTGTCAAATAAATATCCAGTCATGAGGAAGGACATATTCACCAGGCCCTGAAACTAGCTCTGGGGTTTTACCTTGCTGCCTTAGGTAAAAGAAAGCACTTCTCATAGCAAATCAGAAACTTATGGAGCTCACTGTCCAAGAAGTGCTAGCAGAAACTGCATGGGTACAGAAGGTTTAAGAAGAGTCCTTGTATGATTTGGGCCTCCCAAAGGGAATTATAGACATCTAGGGCTACTTTTGGTGAAATGCAACTGAGGGTAATTGTGCCTCTCCACAAGCTCCCCCTTAATGCTGCTTTCAAAGGCAGAGTGGTGAAAATGGATCATTGGCCCTCTCAGGCCTGGCATTTCTAAAATTCTTGGAAGGGTAGGAGGAATATCCAATAGCTGGAAACTGGAATTATTCAACCTTAGGATCACCTGAATTGGTTTAAAATCATACAGATTTTCTTCTCTTCCTTTCCTTCCTGACCACCATATCCCTCTGGCATCCTCCATGCAAAGAACATATTTAATAGGCATTGCCTGGTACACCTTCACCTTAAACTTGTGCTTGGTGGGAGGCAAGAGAAACAAATCCAGGAAGCACCAAGACTAACCCCTTTAACAACCAGAGCTCAGGTTTCTGGGCTCTTTGGAGCTCTTGTCCATATGACAAATGGAGCCTTAGAATTTCAAACTTCCATTATATGGCAGCTTTGGCCATTATGTCTTGAAATCCTCAGGAACTATGGCAGGGGTCATTGTCCCATGGAATTTTAGTAAAAATCATCTTGTATAATAATACTAATATTCAATGGGGAAGGAAGATTTTTTTCATAATGAAGATATATGAACTGGTTGGTTGTCCTCAAGATAAATGTAAAGGAAAAAAATGAAAGGAAAAGAGAGTAGTGTCAACTCCTTTGGACTGATTATGATTTCTGCCTTGGAACTCTAAGATTCTGTGAACAAGAAATAACAATACCTCAAGAAAATGTCCCTCAAAGACTTCAGCCACTGCACATCACCATTTCAGCTGTGAAACATTTACAACTATATCATCTGTGATTGTCAAGATTTCCTATTTACATTAATGTACTGGAGATATGCTTTAGTGCATATGGACTGGTTTAAATCTCTTAGCTGAGCTGCAGGGATGGTTATCAATCTCAGATTGTATTTTCAACTCACTGGAATAATTAACCTAGTTTCTTTGACTTGAGGCAGAAGGCATGGAATCTATTCTTGTGATGGCTGCTTTTTGCTGTATGTTTAATCTGACCCTGATTTTGCCATGGGCCTCTACCTTTAGGTACCATTTTTCGTGGTTCTAAAAGGGGTGGTTCCTGTGTATGGAATATACAAGGGGGCCACACCACCCCTCACATACCCCATAACTTAAATGCTTCCATTTAACCTATTTACATTAGATTCTCCTTAGGCTATGTCAGGAGGGTAGTGGAAAGAAAGTAGTTTGAAGTATTGCCATAGTGATATGGGAACTTTCCACTTCAAATCTTTACACTAAGGGTTTGTTTATTTTTTTTCTCTCCCTATTTAATACTTGCCTAAACTTCTAAAATCAATTATACTAACAAACTATGGAAACAACTGAACATTACAGCACAAGTTAGTAGGATAACACCTGGTTATTTGAGAACTGCAAAAGCTGTGTCATTGTCTTTCGATTTACCATGGTCATTATTAAGTGTATCAAGATTCTGGTGTGATTTACTATCTTTTCACCTAGATCTATGGCTTCCCCCACTTCCTGCTAGTATAGGAATATTCCTGTTCACCTCCGGGTAGGTATGGATAGTAGCTATTGTTGAATGGGGATTATTTTCCTCATCGCTTACAACAGAAAAGTTGAAACATTCTTGTATAATCTTAGACTGTGAGATTTTGCTAAGTGGCCAGACTTCAGCTGTGAACTTTCTTGTTATTTATGTTTCAGCCTTTTCCAATATCTCAAATTACAATATAGTTCCTGTAACTGTTAAAAAAAAAAAAAAATCCTGTTAGAGCTGAGAGATCGTCTGTTTTTGTCATCTCCTCCCCCCCACCCCCTCCCTAGTTTATTCATTTTTTGGTCAAGATATAGCGCGAGTCTTAACAGCATTTCTTTGTGTGGAATGCCCCACTTAAGTGTCTTCTCCACTGGCTAAGTACATGTTTAAAGCCATGAGTTTTAATGTAAGATACTAAAAATCAGATTTGTCCAACTTTGTAAGTCCAAGCTGTTTCCCCCACTGAGGGTGCTAAACAGAATTGGAATCTTTAAGACATGCTCAGGAAAGCTTCAAAAAAGAACACCTTCTAAACCCTTCTTCCTGACACTGAATGGAAGGAAAGAATTCTTGAGGATTGCCAATGAATACTGTAGCCTTATTACTGCTAATCACTGTCAATAAAAGGTCACTCCATTCCCTCTATTTGAGGAAAACAATGAGAATGTATCTGATGAATGAATACTGGTCAGTATTGGGAAATTTTAATGTTGCAATATCTAATCAAACCTTGAGTGTACTGGTTCTGTGAACCACATGAAAAAAGCAAATTAAACTTATTAAACAGTATTGGTTGTGGTATATCTGTTTATAGGAATCTGAAGTTTATGGGCTTTTATATTGTTTTTAAGTGCTTTAAGTACTCTTACGAGATAAAAGTTTAATAGCTCTAGGAGAAAATGGGAAGAGCTCAAGTTTTCACAAAAATCCCAAGACCAGTTATATTCTGACACCAGAAAAAGAATTAACTTCCCTCATTCTAACCACATACGACAATGAATACACATACAAGTTAGAAAACAGTTTAATGATCATCCACCAACATCCATAGGAGAATCTTAAATGTTTACAGGGACAAACTATTCCACTGCTATTGCTATCACCACACCTTCATGTTAGAGTTTCACAAGTCAAGTTTCTGGTCATTTCATCTACTTAAACCCAGATGTATGAAACAACCTAAGTCATAGCAACTTCAGGCTTCAATATGAAACCGTCAAGGTTCCCTTGGAAAGGTTTTGTCTGTAAGCAGCTCCCCTGTCCAGAAGATGCTTAAGGCGTATGTACCTTTCTTCTTCCAGCAGGCCAAGAAACAATTAAATGCCTCAAGATGCCCTAAGAGGTCCAAATATTTAATCAAGGCAAGTATAAAACAGGCTACATGCCTTCTAGGTGTGATGACTATCAGAGTTTTGAGAAGACATTAAAATCATCATGGAATCCTTGGAGGACAGATTCTAAAGCACCAGTACAGAAAGTCTCATGCAATCTGAAGTCTGTCCTTCAGTACTTCCTTCAGTACCGGGGCTTTCTAGGCTTTGGTCTAGAAGAAGATGATTTTTTTGTGCTTCGAGTTAGGTATTTGCCCCTTCGACTTTAACCTCCGAACAGCCTCCCTCATATGTTTGGGTTGTAGTGGTGGCATTTCTCCCCACTTCTCACACACATCCAGTGCTAAACAGAGGGCAAGGAGAAATTTTCATTATCACACCAGAGGTTATTAATCACAATCCTCTTGAGTCCTATAATCCTTATTAACTCATTATTGCTAAGGAAAGAAATCAAGACATTTTCCCTTCTTAAGAGAATGCTATGAAATATATTGTGTTGGCTTTAGTATAATATTCCACATCAGGCTTTATCATAGGCAACAGTTAAAAACATATCTTCTGCTTAAAAAAAAATTTAATCAGCTAGAGATTAGCAGTGGGCAGCAGCCAGGATCTCTCTACCCCCAGGACAGGGGTAGTTCCTAGGGGTCATAACATCAAGGATAACTCCTCACTATACCAGCGATTGCTTTTCTTGTATCTTCACTTTTGGCAGTAGAAATGAGCAAAGTCTATTGGAGAAAAATACAAAGTTTGTTTCTGTTACCTGGGCTAATGTCAGGAATCAGGAAGGGAGTTTTCCTAGATGCTTCCTTGCCTCCCAGTATGGAAACTTTCAAGGAATAATGGTCATGTTCTACCCAATACAAGGCTCCCACCTTGGTCAACTTCTAGTGTAAATGGAAACTACCACAGGTGTCTTATTAAGCACCTCAGTATAGATATTCTTGAAAATAAGACCATCACAGGTCTTATGGTATAAAGCCAGTATTTATACCAACACCACTCACCTTCTTCTACTACTTCCCCGACGAAAACCTTGGAAATACCAGACATAGCAATAACAACATTCTGAGACACAGAGGTGCCAGTGATGGACTGGATCAGCTTGAAAGAAGGACAAAGACTCTTGTGATTAAGGTAGTCAAGGATTGGCTTTAGAAACATAGTACTCTTAAGAGATTTGCACTGAAAAAGCATTTACTAAAGGTTGAATACTGAAACTGAGATGATTAAAGATTCGGGTACATAAGAACCTGTTTGTCCAGACCCTATCCCTGGAATACAAAACCACAAATGATCAGATTATTGAGGGGCATGTTATTTTAATTTTTCCCCCTAAATGATCCACCAACTTCCAAATGCCAATGGACATAAATCTTGAATCTAGGCTAGTTCAGTTTTCATAGCTGATGGAAATGAAGTGTGATAGGTCATCCTTACCCTTTTAATGGCTGCCTTGGGGAAAGCTGACCGGCGATACATTTCATAACGGTTCAGCTGCTCCTCAGAAAAAGAAGAAACCAGGATTCTAGACAAAGATTCAGGTAATTATGCTTAAGATATATTATTACGTCAATAATATCAAGTCTCAGGCAATTAAAAATGCATTTTCATGGAGTCAATAGTATTAGGCTTAGTGATCGTGAGGAATGAAGATAAAATATTTCAACTCTTAAGGAACCTGAGAATGAGTGAAACATAAGTTCCTTTCTTCATTAAGGACAAAAACAACAATATTGGGTCACTGTATCATACCATATAGATTGTGCTTTCTCTCACTATAATGCTACTTTATTACACATTATAGCAAAAATTTAATATATAAATTTATATTCATACCGGTAGTTTTCAACATTAACATTATAAATAAAAAGATGGCCATATCAGTATTAGAAAATGAGCAAAGGACATGAGAAATGGCCAAAATAGAGGAAAAAATTAACCTTCACTATTAAATTAAAACGATAAACTTAAATGAGATAACATTTTTCATAAACCAGATAGGCAAATATTAAAAAGAATGGTATTAATGAGAATGGGAAGACAAACATGTGCTGGTAGAGTGAAATGGAACAACCTTTTTGGAGAAGAATTTGGAATTATGTATGAAAATTCTTTGAAAATATTCATACTATTTGAACTAGCAATTACACTTCTAGTTTATTTTAGGAATCAAACGGACAAGTATACAAAGATGTGCTCAAAGATATTCATCATAATATCAAAAGAAAAAAACCCAAAACACCAGAACAGCTGCAGGGATTGTTTAAATTATGGTTCATCCATGTAATGGAATACAATGCAGCCATTAAAAATGATGATTTATGGGCATATTTACTGACATGAAAATATTTAGCAATACATATCAAACAAAAAAAATCTGAAAAGGTATATACTCTAATACATACCCTAGGTAAACTATGAGTGCTGGATTATGGGTAATTTTCTATTTTTCTATATTCTCTGAATTATTTGTAATGAGGTCAAAATACTTTTATAATCAGAAAACATAATGAAGCTATTTCCATTTTGAAGAAAATTATGACCTAGATATATAATTATTGACATGGAACACATTCACCATAAATAATGTGAAAAAAAAAAAAAGGTTACAAACAGTATTTAATATTTTTGAAAATTTTAATTTAATTTATAGGTATATATGTATAGAAAATATCTTGGAGAATATACATCAAAATATTAAGTGTTTACCTTGGTGGTGGTATTTTCTTTTTACTTATTTATATTTTGTGATATAATGATGTATTAATTGCTTTATTTTCTTTTCAGTTAAAAAAAAATGAAGGTCAAGAAAAATTTATTAACTTTGTGTGGTCAAGTTAGAGACTTGCAATGGGAAAAGATCAGAAAGTGACTTACTGCATCTTTTGAATTTCATCTTCATCCACTTTCTGCTTCTTTTCTTTCTTTTCTTTAGTATCTATTTTTAGTTTTTTGGCTGCAGGAGTAAGTAATGATGAGTCTTCCCTTTCAACTGCTGTTAAATCTGAGATGTCCTGACTCTTGAGCTGAGAAAATGAAAGAAACACTACTATATATTTGGCCTACTTTCCAGACTTGAGCAAGGTAAGAAGACATCATTCTCATTACAACACCACAAATCCATTTATCCAGTAGTTTTTTGGTTCCAGGCACTGGCTGTACCATCAAGTGTAAGATACACTATCTCAAAGAAGTTTCCAGCCCAGTTATGGAAAAACAAACAAACAAACATACAGCTAAATAATCAAGTCTTCCAGTTTAGCTGTGATTATAGCTCCAATATCTGGTTACAAATGCAATGAAATGCCAAGGATCATGAAAACCTCTCTCCCCTGAGCCCACTCTCCTGACCTCATTCTTTGGAGGGGATGTCAGAAAAGTCCTCCCCATTTAGCCAGCATTTCTACCTCTAAATCTATAAATCTCTTTATTGGTGATGATTCCATGTGGAAAGAATGTTAAAAAGGAGGCATCTTCTCATCAAAACAGTGTTTCTTTGAATTTGGAGCATTTAAGTGAGCTTCTCCCACATGTAGTGCTCTTTTCTTCCATTTATGTTTTATAAGTATTAATTCATCAACATTTACATTTATTCTTATTAACTCATTATCCCTACATTCTTCTGATTTATTTTGTTATTTTTCTGGTTTCTTGAGTTGGGTGCTTATTTTCAATATCTCCTGCTTGTTAATAAAAATATGTAAGGCTACAAATTTTTCTTTAAATAAAGTTTTGGTCAAACCCCATTGGATATGACATATTCTCTCTGTTAATTTCTTTAATCCAAGGGCTATTTAGAAAACAGTTTAAAATGTCCAGGTGTTAGTTTTTTGGGGAGAGCAGGAGGTAGAAGAAGTTTTTTGTTGTTAATTTCAAGTTTACTACACTGTACTAACAGGATGTGGCCTATTTTGATTTCTACTTTTAAGAATTTGTTTTTTCTTGTGGTCTGGTATATGATCAATTTTTAAAAGTGTTTCAGAGGCATCAAAAAAATAATTTTATCTTCTGTTGGGTGCAAATTTCTGTATGTAGTGAACTCTTGATTGGACTAAGTTAACTATTATTCAAATCTTTTTGTCTTTGAGATCTGTTTTAAAGATTCCTTTTTAAAATAGTTTAGTCACATGTTCTCTTTTTCTAAAAGTTCTTTATATATTTGGATGTAACTTTATGCTCTTAAAGGCTCTTTCTATGTAATCCAATGTCCTTCCCCATGATCTCTTTAAGTCTCTTACTTATGGCTCTAAGACCCCTAAGATTCTATCTTTAGAAATGGAAACCAGGAATGTTGAGATTCTGGTCCCCTGGCTAATGCTCAGCTAGGCAACACTGCTGAGCTTTTGAGGTGGCACAACTGGTGGGTTTGGTGTGTTTAAGCTAGAGACCCTTGGACATTAACACTCAGGTCACTGGTAGCAGTTAAATGTCCCAAGAGGGTATGGGTGTGACTAAACCAGTAACTCCCTCAAAGTCTCCCTTTAACGACTCTGAAGCCTATAATAACAAAATTATGCTTAAGCAATATCTAAGAGAAATCACATTGCGGTGAAAGGGACACTAGGAATCCCAGGTTCTAGCTCTTGCACTCGCAGTGCGATATCGTATCCCAATTTCTTCATCAGGAAAACTAAGAGGCTATTTAAAATTTCCTTAGAAGTAGCTTCAATAACTAAGGGCAGGGATTAAAAATATTAACCCTGTCCTTCGGTCTCCGAACCAGCACCATAGTTTTGTCTCCTTCCTACCGGCTACCAGCCACCGCGACTGCAGATCTAGAGGAAGTCCCAGTGAGTTCGAATTACCAGTTTGGGAGGGATCAACCAGGGAGCTGGTCGAGTAGCCAGTAACACAATCTCGGAGTACTCCAGCCTCATCAGCACATCTCTTCCTACCTCGCCTTCCTCAGCCGCAGCTTCTTTCAAGTCCCCATCTCCGTCCCCGTCAGTTTCCTCCGGGATTCCGTCGGTGTCGGTAGCCTCGGGACCCCCGGGAGCAGCAGCCGTCTCATCGGACTCCCCTGTCTCTCCACTTTTATCAGTGGGCGACTCGCAGGCATTATCCATCGCCGCGAGAAGGGAGAGGAGATCGCGGTGCTGTCACTCTCAGGAGCTCGGGACCGCGCGCGGAACAGCAGCCCAGGAGCTTACTTCCTGCTGTCGCGCTGCGATGACATCATCCCTACCTCTCTTCGGAGGGTCATTTGAGGCGCGCTTCGAAGACTTCAGGGTTCCGTTTTAACTCTGGTTTGGTGGCAGTGGGTAGAGGGAAAATTGAGGGTACGGAGTTTAGATTTTCCATCCTGGAGAACTACCTTTTGTAAAGGAGCGCCGTGTTGTTTATTGAAGGACTTCTTTTTCCTTCTTGCCTTTCTAAAAACGCAATGTCAGTTAACTCATTCCTTAATCTGTTTTCCTCAGAGTAAAGTTTGGGGACGGGAGGAAACTCAGTTCTGTGGTACGCTCGCATCGTGAGACGTGGCTGTCTCGTAAACTTTCAGGCGAGGATTCAGCCTCGTACGGTTCAGTTACAAAATTAAGAGACCGCGCGGGTTTGAATTGCCAGCATTTCTCTTCAGTTCCTCAAGCACCTTAAAAAAAAGTCGTATAGCTTGAACAATCCATTTATTTATCCAATCCATTTATTCACTCCACAACTGTTGAGCGCCTACTTCGAGCAAGAAAAAGTGCTAGTACCAGAAATAAAACACATAGTTTATACCCAATGAAAGGATTTTTTAAATTCACCAGTACTCAAGGTCGGGATCGGTTTTATAAGCCCTACTTTTCATGTCAGTTTGTTTAATCTCATCAAAAGTAAGAGGAAACAAATCGTACCGGAGAGAGATCTTTCCTTTGATTGTCTCACTTTAGGAGCCATTTCAGGGATTTAGAGCATGAAGAGCAGGGGATATTTCTATTTAAAAACTTTCCTCTCTTCTCTCATTGAGGTAAAGAGCATTTTATTCACCTTTGTATCACTAGGTCCCCACACCCATTACGTATTTAATTTATGCGTGCTGACAGAATGGACTAGGAAATGTAGATGCGCGTTACCGTATTTCTCCCTTTGTTTCTCTATTGCCTGGATAAATTACCGTATTTCTTGTCCTGTGGGCTCCCAAACCTTTGGAGAAGGAGCGCACCTCGTGAGGCGCATACAGGTGGGCTCCGTTTATTCCTTTACACCTATACAGCAGGTGCCCACACGGCGCTTTCCTTTTGCCCTGGAGGCCCATCTCTGCATAGTGAGGGCCACTTGACGCAGACCACGGCCACCTGCGCTGCCCGCCGAGCCCCGCCCAAATAGGTGGGCAAGGGGGCGGGGCACGGGGCGCGGTGACGCGTGACGCCGGATCCCGGAAGTGACGCGATTGTGGGGGGGGCGACGGGGGGAGGGGGGTGGTGTCCCCGGCCAGTTTGGGGGGTGCGTTGCCCGGAGACGGAAAGTTTGGGAGCCGAAGCAGGCTCGGCTGCGGCCCCGGGAAGGGGCCCCAGCGGGCAGTGGCCCTGGGGATGGGGAAGGAGCAGGAGCTGCTGGAAGCGGCCCGCACCGGGCACCTCCCGGCCGTGGAGAAGCTGCTGTCCGGGAAGCGGCTCTCCTCAGGCTTCGGGGGCGGCGGCGGCGGTGGCGGCTCTGGGGGCGGCAGCGGCGGCGGCGGCGGCGGCCTCGGTTCCTCGAGTCATACCCTCTCCAGTCTGCTCAGGTGGGTAACGCGCCGGGGCCAGGCAGCCGCCTGGAGACCTCTCTCTCTCCCTCTCGACTCTCTTGGGTCCGTAGAGAGATCGAGACTTCTGAGACCCAGGCAGAATGAGTTTTCGGGGTACCCCGGGGCGAGGGCGGGCGGCCCACGGGGCAAGGGACGCCAGTGCGGGTCCGAGCTGGGCTTTGCTCGTCTCGCCTCCTGACCCGGCTGCGAGGAATGGTGGGAGTTCCCAGGTGGCAGCCTCCGCCGCATGGCACAGCCCGGCTTCACTCTCGCCCGCTATAGGTGCCAGCTGTGGTATCTAACAAGCCACTTTAGAGCAATATATATATGTTAGCAAATGCATTTTGTAACCTCCTTCACCTCCTGCAGAAACTCCCACGCCTTGCAGAATCTCGCGGCTCTCCTAGAGGAAATTATCTTGAGTCCCTTCTTTTGGGAACTTGGAATCTACTAGGCTCTGCAGGACCTGGCTTTTGTTGTTTATGTTAAAAGTGTCTCTGGATTTATCACGTCTAAAGTACTCTTTGAGCCCCACTTGTGCTCGAAGCTCAAATTCTAGTTCCATATAGTGAACCTCATTGGATTAGTCTGTTAAGTGGCATATGCAGGATTCATTGGAGGTTTATTCACGAAGAAATAAAGCTTTAGGAAGACTTGTTTAGGAAACCGAGGGATGCTTTAAATTTTTCCAAGGTCTGTTGTTAAACACTTGGATCTGAGCTGTAATGATTGAGAGGAAAAAGTCACTTTTGTGTGGCTTGGAGAGAGGATTGTCAGTGTGAGTAAAATGTGTTGTTTCAGCAGCACTTTCATAGCCCGTTTTCTTTTCCTTCCGTGTTCTTTTGAGGTTTTTAAGAAGTGGAAGTTCGTTTAGAAATGGCTTGGTTTGCTTTTGTTCCCCATTAGTTTATGTAACTTAAATTTGGGTGAGTTGAGCTTGGCCCAAGGAAGCCCAAGGCGCTGATAAATTCTTAGATATTAAGCACTGAATAGGAACCCAACTCTATACAGGAAGATTTTAAAAAGCAGTATAAGAGAAGAACTCTTTCTAGGAGTTCTTTTGGGGAGGCAAACACCAGTACTGTTGGCTGCAATTCTGCAGCCCCTAGAACAGTGCCGTCGCATAGTTGGTATTCAGGATTTGTTGAATAAATAAAAGTGTCAGAGGACGGTAAATTTCTAAATAAACTAATGATGCTACTCACCATAATTGTTAGTTCAGCGGTAAGACAGTACTTTGGGATGAGATGGTGATCAAGGTTTCCAGAAGGAGAGGGACTAAAGCTGACTTTGAAGGAAGTGAGGATTTGGGTAGGTGAAGTAGAGCGAGAGTGTTCCAGGTAGGCACACCATGATCAGAGGCACAGAAGTGGGAAAGGACACTTACTTGGTGCCAGTGAGACACTAGAACTTCTTGCCAGGGAGCCTTGAATGTTTGGGCACGATTAAGGGAAATAATGGATGGATACACTGCCATCTTTCAGAGTGAATTAGTCTTTCTCATGTTTATATTCCACGTTCCTAGATTAGTGCCTGACAACTCACAGGTGTTGAATAAATGTACTTTGAGTGCATGAATTGGGTTTTGAATCTTACCTGGATTACTTTGATATTTTTGTACTTCTGATGTCTGAGGTGAGAGAAAGACTATACAAGTTCAGAGGTGCCTGTCTCCCATGAGTTGAATGATGTAGCATTTGGAGGTTTGCCAGAGATACCTTAA